ACCTATAATTATCATATCGCACATACAAATGCAAAACGACAGCGCATACTACGCACGTACATATAAAGTACTTGGAGCTGAGGATGGAAGACTGCAGAATAACGAGAGTGTATAATCTTATAGCGTATTGTAGTATATATAACTGTTGTAATATTTTCTCACTTTCATGATATGGTCACTGTACTCATCAACATAATTTGGAACAAATTGTACAGAAGTATGCGAATTGACGGCATCCATAGCCATTGGTGCATCAGAATAATTTCCCCAACGTGTTCTCTATTAATTAATTCATACCGGTATATATATTATATGCTGCAGGCCGTGAACGGTATAAGCTTCGCTTCATCTCTCGAGTTCCGACAAGCGAAAGGCCATAGAGACGCGGGTTTTAACGCAACCAATGTGCTGAACAGTGTCGTGAGCAAATACGCAGCATGCCCGAAGCGCACCTAACGCGTATTAAATCGGGTTGGGCAAAGAGGCAAAAGCCTATATATATATATATTATATATACTATATATATATATATATATTATATTATATTATATTATTCGGTCGACCGCTCAATGGATATTGTGATGCATATAAGAAAAGAGAAACTCTTGACTCCGTTATTCTGTGGTTCCCAAGATTGAGTGTAAATTACTTTTTTAGGAAGTTTTACATGTCCGATGTGTCCGCGTGTCATCTTCGAACATACGTATGATGTATGTATATATATGTATCGTGATATATTGCATCCGAATTTATGCATATATATATATGTGTATACGTATACGTGATTACATTATTATATTGAGGAAAAAAGAGAAAAAAAATATGACGTCTTCCTGAAATCACAAACCAGGAAATCGCCTTACGCACTTAGATATAGCACCGGAATCTGTGCCTTTCCTAATTCAGTCTGTCTCTAAGTCTATATGTATACTTTACGTCGTTCACTGAAACAGAAATCTGACATCTTCTTTATATTTTTGTACCATTTTTCATCTTACGGAGGTTTTCGCTTTGCTTGTTTTGCTTTCATTGTAAAATAAAAAGCGAAGAGTGCAAGAACCATGTTACGAAACGCGGTGATAGTTGACGGATGCCTTCCGACGTAAAGTATATTTAGCCACTAAAATATTTTGAAAACAAGTGTCAACTCAGAAACACTTATTAAATCTTAAGCACCGAGCATATTTTCATATAGCGGCAGATGTGTGACAAGGCATAGATTATTTTCCCATGTTATAAAGTTAGCAACTAGCAAATCCCGCAAAATGTGATGAAATGAGTTTTACTTGTAAATCAACGACGCATACTAGCGCGGAAGAAGTCTCTTACAACTTCTGAACACGTCATTTGAAACGAGATCTTGTGTCCCTGTGCGATATTTTATCGGTGACAAACACGTTTACATGTTCCTCGTTTTTGTATTATTATTACATTATAATTATTCTAGATATCCTTTCCTTTCTATACTGCCTTCGAGAGATAAAAACCGATAGATGCTTTGTTGAACGTGAAAGTATATTTCGATCGTAACGACTCATTACGGATACAGTAGAATTCCGAGAGTGTGAGGACAATGCTATAGTTATACTAACACTAACGAACGAACAGACAGATTTAGCGATAATGAAGTATACATATGATTGTTCGTACTTTGACAGATTTTTTTAAGTGAAGGATGAAGTCTCGCCTTGTTTCCCCCAAGCTGAAATGAGAGCGAGCCGCATGCAGATATATCGCACCATGGCAATCGCAACTTCCACCAATGTATTATTTTATTTCGTTTCGATTTTCTCTTGTTTTTTTTCACGAATTACGATGAGGACTAGAATAATGTTGTATATTTAGTAACATTACAGCGCATTTTTTTTCTTTTTTTTCTGTTTTTTTTTTTTTCTTGAGAGGAAATTATGTTGGATAGCAATATCCTTAAAGTTGTAAGAATCTATTGCATGATGAAATTTTTACTCTGGCGAACGACTGAAGTATACTTCGTATTTTCATACTTCACGTAATAGTATGTTCTACCTATGTGTCTCTTGTTAAAATCAATACAATTTTCTATATTTTTTTTCTGTTATTTTTCTCTCATTGTTGAGATCCAACATAGATTTCTTCTCTCAAAGATAGCGTGGAATTAATGTCTGGCTTTCTTTTTTATGTCATTAATGATTTCATACATTAGCTTCTTATATCGATTCTTTCACTTAAACGAAATTCAAGGAAATACGTCCTTTTCAATGAATGGATATGTATGTTATGATATACATATGTGTGTGTAGATATTGACATAGCTAATATTCTTTTGAATAAAATGTTTTGTACAGTTTCATTCTTTTCTAGTTATTTATGGATAATTTTGAAATTATATTAAATAACTTTTTTTTGTAAGAATGAAAGAATCTAAAGAGACAAAGGAGCTAACTAACTCGATTTATTCACAATATTTAAAAAGAAGACGAGTCTTGCAATTTAACATATTTCATATTTATATATTGCTTTCTGTATTAATTTCGCCTACACTTATGTTTTTCTACCCAATGTCAGTATAATAATTGCATTTATATTTGAATATTGCTTAGTTGACACAATTTGCTAAATACAAACACATTTCGATGACAGAAGCAAATATGGAGATATGTGAAAAGTATATCAGGCATTCCACTTTATCTTTTCTTTACGATTAATGTACATGCCTTTTAATGCGATTACGGAATTGTAGCCTATTTTTTATCGAAGATTTCACATTGTTGAGGTTTTGTAAACAAATAGCAACAAATTGCACAGAAATGCTTTTATATTTAGTGTACTAAAAAGAAAAAAAAAATCAACTCCTTATTTCTGCAAACTGGCAGTTACAAATACTATTACAGTATTGATCTCAAAACTGACTAATAAATTAAGATTAGAGTGCTATTTGATTGCAATGAACGGCAATTCGATTTTACCCACCTTGCTTTAATTTATTCTATTCTATTGATAAATATTCATTTATATATTGTATTATCGAGAACGTGACATACAATAGAGCATTATTCGAACAAGGCAGGCCATAATTAATTGGTACTTCACTTGTATATTGATTAATGTATCCTGATCTAAAATTGTACCATTATTCAATTATTAGAAATATACAATATTCCAAGCACGTATTTCAATCTCAATCTCGCTGTGTAATGATATAAATAAATGTCGATGATAATCTCTTGATGAACAGCAGTACTGTGCTTAGTACAATGTAATATAAAAGATCCAAATTGAATGAATTGTCATTTATATGTAGCTTCGACCAAGAGAGTGCTTTTCACAAATTTCTTCTTTAAGCTATTTATTATATAAATATATATATATATTTTTTTCCGATAAAAATGTATTTCTCTATTATATTTTTAATAAAAGATTGAGAAGCAAGATATTACATATAGTTTTCTACATCTGTGTAACATCTAACTGTTGGAAATGTTAATCTATAATCTGATCTTATTTCAATACTAAGTACAGATATTGACTTTGAATATATTGTGAATTTGAGAATCGCGCCCGTGTATGTTATCCTAATATCTCTTCGAAGATACGTGCCTTCTCCTATATAATATTGTGTATTTCTCGATTATTATATCTCGTTACACGACAAATCGTTGCACTAATACTTCCACGATCATTGCCAATAGCATTTATTAATAATGTCTGGTCAACGCAATAGCATCTACATGTTATACGGCAAATAATAATGATTATAATACGTTTATTAACGAACCATGGCGTATCCTGCAGAGCTGACCGTGGGCTGCTTGAAAATATGTTATCCTACTTGTAGCAAATCAGAGAAATTTTGTACTCGTCTCTGATTTTTTAAGACATTGATTTTTTTTATATTATCTTGTATAAAGGATATTAAAAAGTCGTATTTACTTCTGTTGTATTATATATAGAATGTTTCCACAATATTAACTTTTTATTTACATCTCATGAGATTGCACAATTAATGATGTATCCTGATGTATTATGTATTTAGCATTTTGATATAATATATTCCCAATGGTGGTTTAAAACCGTCATTACTAGGATTTGTTTTTGTATTCATCATGTTTATCGATATTCGATGCATAAGTGATACTAGAAAGTTACAAAGATAATAAAATGTAATATCTAAAGAGCCACCCACATAATAAAATAATGTATATGAAAATGAAGAAAAAGCGAAAAGAGAGAAAGATTGATGAACAAAATTAAATTATGTCGTATTAAATATATCAAAATATGAGGTAAAAAAATGCATTTATATGCAAATTATATGAATATAACACGTCTTTAAGAGAACGTGCTCTTTGCTGCACTCCAATTACGTGCCCGTCCAAGCATCCGGAGAGGATCCTTAGGATATTCAGTTAATTATAGCGTCAATTCATTATTTAAAGAAACCTATAATTTAGAAATTCTAATTTAGATCTTACGTTATGGAGGGCAGTAAATAGCTCATATATAAACAGAATAGAAATATTATTTAATAATTTTATGGAGCAATAATAGTAATAATTTCGCATTAATAAATATGTCAAAACTGTCTTGTATATGTTGTATCAATTTATTTCTGAATCCTTATATACAAAAAGGAACATTTTGTATATGCGAAAACACGTCTTGCAGCGTTTACGATGCATGTAACTCGTTATTAGGAATGTTATGTGTAAATTGGGTTCTCTTATTACACTTACGCAACACGGTAACACATGGAAATTTGTCTCTTAACACACATCATATCAGATATCAGTTTGTCCTAAATGAAGAAAAAGACTGTGATCGCAATTTTGCGCAGCTTAATTCCTCGGATAAATGAGATTTATCAACCCTTCGAACATGAACGCTCACGTCCACGATAAGATTTCACGCAACGTCATGTCCCACGTCTTTTTTTCTTTTTATTTTACATAAAAATTTATATATATATAATCGAGAAAGAATTTATATACCACTCCCATCAGAGATTCTCTAAACTCATTACATCGTAATACTCTATGTGCCATAATCAGTGTGCAATGGTGACAGAATGGTGATGGTTGTTATACATATGACAATTTGATTAATTTATCATGTTTAGTGTTTGTTAGCAACTGCCTTTGTTTTGTTATTTCAGCCCCATGGACCCATCCGTACCCCCCAAGCACCCAGTAGTGAGGTACGTTGCTGCATACCATAATACCACAAATCCGTATTCTAATTTCGCTCATTCGTTCATTTACTCCTTGGTTTTTTCGTACCACCAACTTTCTGTTTATCGGTATCATCGGTCATTAACGAAATGTGTGGCGCGCACTCACATTTGTTTCAACGATATCATTCGATGCACGTCTCTCGGTGTTTAAGACGATCCCAGTGATATAGCATGCATATTCCATAAATTGGCTCTATATTGCTCCAAAAATTTTTTTTTTTTTTTTTTTTTTTCCCAATAACTACACAAACGAAAAGATTACATTACGATTAGATATTATTAGCGGCTTAGAAAGAGACAAATTGTTCCAGTTGCACATAATTAACGTAAAACACTATTTATCTGGTACGTGTGCAGAATATGTTGTATCAATTATTCGATATCTCTGTTTTATAACTAATTGTATTCTTTACTGTTCTCACACATAAACTGCAAGTTTTTGTTATCACTATTGTCGTGACAATTTTTCCAAGCTATACATATTTTCAGGATTGCAATGATTCACACATGAGTTCAATACTTTTCGCAATTCACTTTAAGTGTTCTTTATATTATATAAATGTAAATATGTATGCAGCACCGAGATTGTGATTAAAGTTACGATTGCAAATGATCTGCATGTCACGCATGTATGTTATAACTCGATAGAATTTGATTATGGATAAATTTCAATTTTACATTCTGTTTTGGAACTCATCTATCAGCAGCTTGTAAAAACTTGAGCACAGCATTACATCATAGAGTCTCTTTGAAAACGGGTTGGAAATTCATTTTTACGCAACCGCAAGCTTGAAGCTTTGCATACAACATCATTCTGTAAGAAAGACATTTTTCAGATAGATTTTACAATTTTTTCGTTTGATATTTAATATGCATAGAATACGTTATAATTTTTAGTAACAGATTAAAGAAACCCATTATTGGATGACTTTGTAAATCATCATTATTCGATGCTAGAATCAAATTTGCGAAATAAAAATATTGAAAACAACTTATCTACGTAAAAGCTATATACCGAGGACTTTCCCGTAATCGTAATTATAGAGAACTATACTGGAATGTGATTTTTAGATAATTGGACGGGTTTAAGATATCTCTTTGTTACAGCGGAGCTACCACCAACGACGAACAGGTGAAACCACGCAGTCTACGCTTCACATGGAGTATGAAGACCACCAGTAGTCGGGACCCTAATGAAATTATGTCCGAGATTCGAAAGGTATCAGAAGAGAAAAGCACATTTTTTTTCATTGTCAAGCAAGCATTATTGTCATGCAATCGATGCGTTATTTTAGGCAAGACTGAAACTGTAGCAGACCTAGATAAGATCGTGGTTCCGTTTGCACGACACGTTATCAGACTGTCCTTCCAGGTGCTGGACGCTAACAAATGCCAGTACGAGCAACGCGAACGATTCCTCTTGCTGTGCGCGCACGGCGAGGCGGCGACGGACAGCCAAGTGCAGTGGGAGATCGAGGTCTGCAAACTGCCACGACTTTCCCTGAACGGGGTGCGGTTCAAGCGTATCTCCGGCACGTCGATCGGTTTCAAAAATATCGCCAGCAAGATCGCGAACGAGCTCAAGCTGTGACTGGCGGCCACGGGCGCCCTAGCCGCCAATCGCGCCAATCCATAACGACCTCGTGAGCGTAGCCACCAAGTGGCGGTGGTCACCGAGGAGTTTTACTCTTGTTTCTTCTTCTGGGACTCCGACTCCGAATCTGATACCCAAGAAATATTCGTTTAAACGATTCCTCCGTCCCGGTCGACGAGCGTCGTCGTCGTCGTCGTCAGGTGAAAGAGATAGAGGAAGAAAGTATGAAAGAGGAGAGAACACACGCCCTCATCATCGTCTCCTCTACGTTTGATGGAGGTACCGCTGTAACGATTCGTTGAGAAAATCCGAAACTGTGATCCGTGACGGCTAACACGTATTCAAATACTCCCGAGTGCCAAAATGGAGAACTAACGGTCGGGTCCTCGAGAGCGACGAAGATAGGAACAGACGGACCAGCTGACCTCAACTGATACGAAGAAGCTGGCATTAGACACAATAATCCACGTTTATTAGTTTCGAATTTTCGTTTATCGAGAACAACAGGGGAAAACGTGCATCCGAGCGAAAGTAAATGAGTGTCACACTTACAGATTGACCTGCCCTCCCGATTTTCGAGTAATCCATGTATCACGAACTATCACTTCGTTTCCAAAACAGTATTAAGTAATAAGTCTTGTGTTATTCTTGATGTTGAAGCTGTCTGCATTCAAATTGGTATGCTTCTGAAATGTCGGACACACCGCGTGCAATGTTGCTCCATCGTTATTACAAGATGTTCTGATAGAATCAGAACGAGAAATTCAATCGGATCGTCAAATGTGCCTAATAAAGCATCTCTCACATCAATTACGTTTCTTATGGGAACAGTGTTCCTTGTATTGTAAAATAACGCGACCATTTCCATCTTGCGAGAGTTTGAAAGAATGGGACAGTATATTTGCAACGTCAAGAGATTTATTTGTTAACTTTCTGATTTTCGCTGATCTTACGCTTTGTATGTGAAATTTCACGAGCAGGTTTCGCCCGTTAAACAAATTCAACAAATTCGCAAAACCTGTCGAGGGAGATACGCGTAGCGTCGATGAGAATCTACCTTCATTTATCACATATTAGCCGAAAATAACAAATTGAAACTATTTTAATGCGTTGTACAAATGTGCAACTGTTTACTTTTTTTTTTTTTTTTTTTTTTTGAACATTTTTATGATACTTTACTTTTTTTATTTATAGTATAAGTTTGAAAATACGCAGCACTATAGACATTAGCCAATTAATTAAAACATAATAATTATTATTATTTTTATTTCTATTATAGACGACAAGTATATATAGTATACACAATTATGAAGGTAGAAGCAGAGGAAGAGTTATTAACATAATTTAGAAATACCATCGAGTTATTACTCGCGTTTCATGTGAATAATACACACAAGTACTTCATCATTGTCAGAGAGTTGGAATTATAAACCTAAACTACATCAGTAATAACGAGATCTGTTATTTCTACAAGAAGTACGATAAATATTAAATTTAAGTATTGTAATTGGCTATATTGTACTATTTAATCCTTTCATTCGCAGAAGATATTCGCAGTTGAATGAAGTAAAATTAGGGATTACCGTAAATCTTAGAGGCGAACTAGAGACTTGGTGTATATAATATATATTATGAAGGTACTAAAAATTAATAAAGAGAGTAAGAGAGAGAGACGAGAGGAAGAAAGAGAAAGAGAGAACCTCACACACCAAGATCATAAAATACACTTTGGAACTCGAGTATCGCAAACTTTTTATATTTGCCTAAGATTAATGAAGTATGTTATTAAAATAGGCAATGACTAATTTATTTACATACTATAAACTCAATGATTTTTCACATTTCTAACACTTGCTACACTGAGAAATACAGAGTAACTTCAGTGCACCGACACCATGTACAATCGCGGTACATCGTGTGTTGCGAATTGTGAAACGACTGATAGCAACTAAGTATCGGCGCCAATTGTCTATTACCGAACATCTTGACGAAAATTCTAAGTGCTATGATTAAATGCAACACCGGCATCGGGACTTACCTTCTTTGTGTATCACCATACCAGTTTCGTGTCGTCGGATTACTCCATGAACCAATAAGCAAGATAATTGTAATATAGTAATAATGTTATCGATTTAAACAAGGAGAGAGTCAAAGCTAAGTGCAAACATTCATACCCCTCCGTCGGAGAAAGAAAGAGAGAGAGAGAGAGAGAGAAACCCACAATCACTGTTAGAGAATTTAGACCGGAGGATGTATCGAGAGTTTCCTTTCCGTTTGTTCCTGCATCAATCAGAGTTAGTAACCCCGAGTACAATGTTGAACATCATTAATCTCGCCATTGTAAAGTAAAAAAAAAAAAAAAAAGGAAAAGGATTGTAATCCGGAAGCGGTCGTTGTAACAAAATGACTCTATAGAAGTACACACCATAATAGTGATTATTATTATTATTATTAATGTTAACGTAAGGCCCTTCAGATAGCATTAATGGTATTATCCCCGGCATATAGACGAATTAATTATATACTGTAATCTATACATAAACCCACTCTTCGCTCGCTTGCTTTACGAAATGAATGTATAAATTAATGATCGATGCTTAACAGGAAGAAATATAAATCTAAGAACATTTATGATTTTAACACGTGAGAAAAACGGATTTATCGCGAGACAATTAGAGCCGCAGAGCTGCACGGGCGACATTTAAGAATTCCTACCCGGCATAATGTCGGTGGGGCTTTTTGTGATTTTTTTTGTATGTAAGTATGTGCCGCGATATATATTTCTCCCGCGTGTGTGTGTTGCCCGTACAGCTGTGCACATGTTCTCAGCACGCACATGATACACATACATGAAATACATTACATACACATGTCAGTCTCTGTAGATAGATACATACATACAGCTTTGCTAAGTGTTTTCTGGTGATCGGTATCTAGCCAAAATGTAGCAAAACGTTTATAATAAAATGGTAACACGCATTGTTTCCCGATTCAGATTCCTGTCAAACACGCGCATTCATCGACATGCAAGTAGTCCATCATTTCTTTTCTTTCTTTTTCATCGATCAACAATCCGGCGGCGATGCGCGGCTATCCATTGGAAAATTATCACTCATACAAGATTCCTACAATCGTGAAACAGACGAACGTATTCTTTTCTAACACTGTCAATTAGTGTGTATATATAATTATGATGTATAAATACCAATAAAAAGGTATTTTATTCGAAGCAAAACCATCAGCGTCGCGTCGCGTCGCGTCTAATTATATATACGCTTCTTAGAATTAGAATTAGATTATTAAATTTATTATGACAAATATATTATCTAGTCGTAAACCTTTTAATATGTAAGTTTCACTTCCATGTTTAAACTATAAATTTTTGCAAAAGTACAAAAAACGGCTGATAATTTAAAAGAGATAAAATGAATACTCTGTGTTGAATCCTACAAATATTGCTGATACAATATCAATGTTGCAAAATAAAACTGCATTCCCTTGAACACCGTTGCTTGAAAATATAAAAAGCCATAAATATTTCAAGAAAAGTACTCTGATTGAACAAGTAAACGTATATACATGGTACTTGTCTTAAATTTTATTTTATTTTTATTTATAATACATTTACTAATATTTTATAATAAATTATGATTGTCTTGCCATATATACGTCAACTGCAAATATAATTTTTTCAATCCAAAAACTAAATAAATTCTTTTTATTTCATTATGTATGTGCAATATACGTGCAATTGCATCTCATTAAATAATTAACGATCAGTTTCTAAAGTTACGATATGATACGATACTGTTTCTGATATAAAAAAGAAAAATTTTAATAATCAGTAATAATTATTGTTTTCTCCGTAAACATATTATCGTCAGTCGGCTCTCACAATAGTTGCACGCGTGTTATCCGGGTTCTAATCGCGTTAGCGACTCTCGGAATAATTTTCTGTCGACCGTCATGACACAACCGCGTGCTTGTGGTCTCGTCATTTTTCGCCGGGTCCAAGGGACCATTCAGTATCTATTGATGCAAACATCGTATGGACAACATCACTGGACGCCACCTAAAGGTTCGTATATTTCACAGATTAATATACTCCACGGGATAGCGACTTTTCATCAGCTGACAATTTGACAATCGGACGGCTGAAAAGAACAGAAGTCTGACTAGTCGTTGACTCGTACTACTTGCTCCAGATTAGCAAAACGATTTCGACAAAACGGCCAAGTAGTTCGAATTAACAATAAGTCAGATTCAGTCTAACATTATTGATCGCAGGTCACGTCGATCCAGGTGAATCTGACATGGAAACGGCATTGCGCGAGACGCAGGAGGAGGCTGGTTTTGTGTCAAGCGATCTGAAAATCTTCGAGGACGCGAAACACGAAATGACCTATCAGGTGAAAGGCGTGCCGAAGATCGTTATCTACTGGTTAGCAGAGCTGCTCAATCCGGACAAGTCCGTGAAACTGTCGAACGAGCATCAGGCATACGAGTGGCTTTCATTGCGCGATGCTTGCAATTTGGCAAAATACGCCGAAATGCAAAAAGCGCTGAATGAATTCGACAAATATATATCTCAGAAGCTAGCGTAAATTTCATTCCGAATTCATATTTATTTTCATATATTTCCGAGTCAAAAAATCCTAATCAAATATAAAATTGATAACTATAGAAATAAACCTTGTGACTTAAAATTGTTTTAAAAATGGCGCTGCAGTGATGAATCAGCAATCATCAGCAGTGTTCGACGTAACCTTCCTAAGCCAAAGTTAATTTACAGAAGTTTAAATAACAATTATTTATTAACCACAATGGTTAATCCTGTACAAAGTTTACGAGCTTTCCTAAAGTATTGGTATTTCCGATATATGCTCGTAACAGAGCTGTACATGGTTGAACAATGGGAGAGAGATTTTATAAGTATCCTTTAATTATAACCTTCATGTTTATCAAGTGATTGTAAAATCATATTTCTTTCGTCATAATATTGAGAGCAATGGATGGATAAACCATGGATAATCATAATCATGATAAAGGCATCATTAATAGGAGGTCGAATTTTGCAACTGTGAATGTGTGTAGAAAATAGTGTTATGTAATACACCTAATATACTTTAAAAGAAAAAATCTTTCAATATATTCCTTAAATTAATAATAGATATCTTTTTTATAGCAATGTTCTTTCTCTTTTTCATCTTCAACTACAAAGTACTACTGCCAGTTACACAATACGTATTAGAAAGTTAACTGTCAGTGTAGCATAATTACTGCAATGTATAAAAAACATAATTGTTCCATCATTCCAAAAATTTTTAAAACACGACTGTGATTGTAAGAATCTAATAAAAAAATAAAAGTTTTAAAATAATCAACTATTATATTAAATTTAATATAAAAATACAATACAAACCTATTGTTACAGATTGATGGAAATTGTGCATTATTTGGAGATAATAATTTTATTTAAAACAGTTTGAAAAATTATGTTGAAATACTTTATTTTTCTTGGTTAATTACTTTCTTCTTGCTTCACTGATTTCTTGATTTACTGATTGTGTAGAAGTATGCATTATAAATGTTTTTAAATTAAAAGCAACTTTTGTAAATATTATCCTCAGCTAATTAATAACTTTCCACGTAAAAACCTTTTTCCAATGAAAGAAATGGTATTTAAAGAAATGATGCATGAATTATGTAATAGTTGATGAATTATGTAATAGTATTTTTGGGGACGATCTGTATATACCTGGCATAATAATAGGTGTTGAGACATTAGTAAAATATGTATATGCATAATAAATATTCAATTTATTTTTTTTTTTTTAATACGAAGTATATGAGTAACCATTAACCAATACTTTTAACAATTTCATACTAAATACTATATACTTTGCAAATTTATCAATTCAATGATTTGTATCGTTACTCCAAATTCATTGCAGCTGATATCTTCCCCACGTTTCAAAATTTAAATAATTTACATAAATTATAGATTTTCTGTATCTGGCAATGATGAACATCAACACAGACAGCTTTTATCTAATAATATTTAACGTTATAAATAGGCACAATAGGAGTAATACGACCCAGATCTTGCAATGATTTTGTAACTTTAGTTTACGTATAGAGGTTAAACTTGAAGACGTAATTTTACAATAAGCACTAAATTGCCATCCTCGAGGCATAATTTGGTATCATTCTATAAAAATTATCAATATACAGGCTGTTCCCATAACTTTAATTAACGTTAAATTAAACATATTCTGAATAACGGTTAAAAGATAACGTAGTTAGGAATAAAATAGAGAAGTAAGAATAGTAATAATAGAACAGTAGCAATGATATTGAGGTTTACATAATACAATAAACGATGTCTTTCAATACCGTGCGTGTGTGTACGAAGCACTGCTGTCCTGATGTATTTACATACGGGATTTCCCCCGAGTTAAACATAGGCACCTGTCGCGCACAAATTCGCACAAGTTCCATCCATTTTTTCCCTCTTTTTGCTTTTTAAATTATAATTACGCCTTTTTTTCCCCGAGAATCTATTATCGCTTAAGATGAATACAATGCTTTTATTGCTAATATTGCAATGATGTTTCTGTGTAACTGTATGTCGGAGTCATGGTATTCCTGATATTAGAACGCTGTCTGTACCGCTTGCCGTTTGATAGGACGGCACAACTGTAAATACGGATAAAGAAACATAATTATGCAACATATAATAAAACTCTATCGAATATCAATACGAAGACTCATATCGGTAAACATGATATGGATCTGCAGTCCGTCTGTGGATCGTTATCCATGTCTAACTGCCTGACTCGTACTCTCTGCTTATAATGGTACTCCTTGAGATAGCTCTTAAGTGTCTTTGGCAATTGCAGCTTGTTTATGCCATCGTACGTTGTCCGCGTGGTTATCACCGCTCTGCACAGGTGTTGCAGCGGAAACGTGAAATTTCGGTGCAACGGAATAGTGAGCATGGGCTCGAAAAACATGCAACACGAGGGATCTTTATAGTGCTCGATCAAGCCGCATACCTATAAAAAGTATAACATGAAACTGAAGTTCGCCTCGCATTCGCTATTTATAAGAATCAATATGAGTGATACGTACTGTTTCGGAAGCGTAGACTCCTGGGTCGTGCGAATCAAAGCTAAATTTGTGATTCCACTGCTCGATCCGCGCGTGCAACGAGCGCCCATACTTGCGGAAGCTCACGGAAAACAAAAACTCCTCCTGCGCGGAGTCTCGTAGCAAAAATGTACCTTCCTGCTTGCCCTCTAACAAGCGCTCTGCCTCGTAACGATCCATCTTTCCCCAATAAAAAGAGCAGGCCGTAATCGACCTTAAGTCCGGCACGAGACAGTGAACATAATCAATCTGCGACATAAATATAGACTGTGAGTATGCTGCGATACATACGTAATGCATATATTTACAAAAAAAGTTAGAGAAACGTAACTGCGTACCGCGTGTTTAAAATATAGTTGTTGTAAAAACAACATTTGACGTGCTTTGAACAAATGTGCCTTTCTGTTCATGCGATTCTTCACATGAACAATTTTATATGAATGCGTATGACTGATACTACGCATATTATTCGTATTATACAGACTTTCTATACTATTTATATTATGTATATTGTTCATACTACTTGCACTATTATATCAGTATTAACCGAATTATTTTCTGTGTTTGCATAGTTTTCTAATTCTATTTCTTCTGAGCGAAAGAAATTTATAAACATCTGACACTTTATAAACACTGTTCTTTGTAATAATTTGATATATATATTAACGGAATCACTGTACGGATATTGTTAATAAATCAATTTTATAGCAACTGACTTAAAACTTCAAATTCAAGACTAGATTGAAAGTCAGCGAAAGGCAACTAAAGATCGCCTGATATTATGACTCAAAAGCTAAGCCAATTGTAAACATTAGGTGAAATCCATAAGTCAAATTACAACATATTTTAGATACATCTTTTACACGTAAAAAAAACTATGTATATAACATACACAAAATAATTACTATTTAGGATGTAAATTTATTCGTCGAAGTATCAATGTTTATGAATTTTTTTTGCATGAATATCAAGCCGAATTAATAGCATGCAAAGACTTACCTGAGTGTGCGCGGGTCTTTCGATATTTGGAATTAACGTAAAGTCAATCTGCGATAAGGCTGTAAGCGCGGCAGCTTGAATACCGGCATGTGCTTGGAACAATGCCGCCAAACTGTCCACTGTTATTCCATTAGGATGAACTTGTATTCCCGTAGGATAATTAGGCCTATAACCAGGTGGAGGCTCGACACCCTCCTCCATCTCTCGAGCGCGCTGCATTCGCGCACGTTCGTCGCAATCCTTCAGAAACACAAGAACATTAATGCAATGAAACTTAACCCAAGATCCCTTAAGAATGAGAAATAAAAACGTACCTCCATAGGAAATTCCTCGGGGTTAAATCGCGATAAATCAATTACAGGGCTAGGTGGCAGAGGTCCGAGAACGGGACTCTGCGGTGCGGATCGACTATTAAACACGATACCTGCACCCATAGGATGCTCCTCAGTTCTCCTGTAACCGGTGCATACGCAATCTGAATTACTATTCCCTTGGCCGGGAATAATGTCCGTGTTTTTAGAGCTTTTGCTCTTGGCGCAATTAAATTTCAACACCCAGTTGCTACGTTTCTTCTTCGACGATAAGACGTGATTACACACTGGGCTTTGATCTTTGTTGCGCTGTTTATCTAATGCAAACAAATATATATAAGTTAGTATCGCATAATTGACAAATAACAGAATTACACGGTGAGATATGTAGGATTCAGTACGTACTTTTTCTCTTTCCAAATGATAAAGTTTTAGAGGATCTTCTCAAAGGTGGATTTACAGGACTATCTTCGGAACTGCTACTACTATTGCTACCACCAGGACTACTGCAGCACGCGTCCTGTTGCTGCCTAAACGATGGCTCGCTAGTAACATTGCCATTATTACAAACTTGTTTCGCATCCTGAGTTTCAACGGGTTGACTATACAAAGTTTCGAATCTAGAATTATGGTTATCTACATCTAAGTTTAAACGATCGTTGTCCAAATTTCCCTCTGATTTACATTCTGGTCTGTTCGGCAGTATATTAGAGTTCATTACAGGTACATTGCCATTGGTTTCATTCTCGGGCAAACTCTCAGTGCCATCTCGATTCACCATGTCCAAAGGCAATGGTTGGCTGAGCGCGTTAGCGCATATCTCAGTAGGCTGTCTCTCACCATCCATTCTAAAGAACTCTCTGAGACTAGCAAAGTGCTGTCCCATTATTAACTAGAATGGCAGGCATTTTATCGCCTTAATAACTCTTTGTCTACACCATGATCGTAGAAACTACTGAAGACACAAGATGTGAACTCTTAACTCGGCATAATGCAACGGCGACTCTTCACAGATTCTACATCCACTTAACTGCATAAGGGATGGTATGTCAGAGAATACAATAGGTCTGTTGCATCTTTACCTGTAAAAACAATAAAAAGCACTGTAACGTTTGAAAAACCATCTACTTGGAACATTTATATTTCTGCAATATTACGTAAAACTTATATATAAATATTAATATATATACATAAATATTTATATATTTATATATATATATATATATCTTTTTTTTACATAATACTCTAGAAATATAAATTTTTACAAGTAAATAGTTTTTCAAACAAGTTTTTATGCACACATGTACATATATTAAATATAAAATATAAAATACTACTGCATTATTTTAAATATTAATTAAACACAAGCATTAAATATCAGAAATTAAATTCACACTTCAATATTAAAAATTGACGAATAAGGGCGTGTCTTAGCACAATCTCATAATCGTCATGTCAAGTGCAAATATTGTGTCATGCATGACAATTCTAGATGACACAAGGCACCTCGAGCAAAAAAATGATGGGCAGACGAGAGTTCTATTCTCGTGCCACAATGCTCGTATATTCTCGATTAATTTATTTATCAATAGCAACTTGCCTCGCATACAAATTCCATGGGGAGCGATATTAAAGAAACGGAGATGATATCAACCTCTCGAGACTATTTCCTAATGGTAGCAGGTCGAAACACGTTCAAACAAGTTACGTGCGATGAGATAAGCGGACGATTCACGGAACACACACACATACACACGCACCCACGACACACTACCGAATTTTGTGACCACAATGACGTTACCGCGACGATACTGTAGAAATTGCGTTTCCTACCACGACGTAATCCTTCATCGAATGTCGGACTCGAACAATTAAAATTGTCAAAACATGTCCCGTGAATCGTCAGCCATTTTCCCTAATCGCGATAAACCGCTGGCTATTCATGCAGTATAGAACACCAACCCATCTTCAAAAAGTTGCAATGTTTAAGCTTGCATCTCATGCAAGATTAATATTGCATTCAATGCAGTATGAATCTTCCATAATGCAAGTGAGTTATTGGGAAAAAAACACAACGCAAAATGATTCATTATTTGAAGAAAAGGAAAAAGAGCGCAAAAAATACATAGCTATCGCAAAAATCACATGCGCGTTTCCCGAGGTGCAATTGGCTGTCCAGTGCATTGCACCAATTCGGACATCTGACGAATGTTAGGTCTGTTCTTTATAGCTGAACTGGCTGCACTAGTTCAGAGTTTATCTTTTTCCCTCCACGTTGAAAGGAGAAAGATAAACTCTGAACTAGTGCAGCCAGTTCAGCTATAAAGAACAGACCTATTGTAAACCACGCTTTAAACCCGATATTCGAATGGCGAAAACCTCACCGAACCTCTATGCGTATATATCGATCAAAACGAAATTTTATATCGCGCTGCGGCTTCCGCAAGGCGGCTCGTCGAGCCTCAGGGCACGCTGCAAAATTACGCCCCTTCACAAGTGCCGTTTGCGCTAAACGCGAATTCAACCGTTCGACAGCTGCGGCTTCTTCGCGCGAGTATCCTCGTCTGCACGTGAAGAGTGCTTCGGGCATCGTAACTTTCGCTCCGCTCGCTCGCGGCCCGCACGGCTTTTCCTTCGCCGAAGAAAGAAATTTCTCTCCAAAGCGCTCGGCGTGAGATACGAGTATCGTCCGCGCTTCCATCACGCTGAGAACCGGCTGTATTGTCGAAGGAAGAAAGAGACTGTTCAAGACCGTTGTAACAAGTTTACGTCCGTCTGTGAATAGGTAAGAAAAGGTCTGTCCCGCATAGCTGCACACCGTTATCTGCACTTGAAACAAGACGGATATACAATTGACCGTTCGGTAAAAGAGAGATGGAAATTTTGCAAGAGAGTACGGCCGAAAGACACACAGACATCCCTAAGCTTCCGCGCTCGTCTCGTAGTGAAATGTACTTTCCTTCTAGAAAGTTTTTCCCATACTTTTTTCGAACGATTGAACTGACCTCATACCTTACCTTACACTGCGGTACTTGGGGGTAGCGAGCGCGATTATCGCAGTGACAGCGACACGTGAACGATTTCAACTAGCACGAGTTTCGTGAATATCTTCGATCGCACGTTTCAACAATTTAGGTAAGGTTCAATATGGTTCTGTGGTTTATTTCGAGAGATGACAAATGCGAAAGATAAGAGGGACTAGTCATCGTATATTGACAGTTGGCGATAACCATTGAAGGGTATGATGAGGCTTACAGCGGGGGGAAGATATTAGATATGTGTCTGGTAATATTCTAAACTTAGTTCTGTATTGGTGTCAATGAACCTCACTGATGCGAAAGCAAGCAGAACTGAGCATACTTTTATCATCAATATCACGTGGGATGTATTGCTTTTTTATGTATTGGTTTCTCTTACTTTCAGAATGGCCCGTGGACAGCAAAAAATACAATCTCAAGCCAAGGCAGCTGAGAAAAGTGCGAAACTAAAAAAGCAGCAAGGACATAGCGCCAATGATCAGAAAAAGGCAGCACAGAAAGCACTTGTACATGTGTGTTCTGTATGCAAGGTTAGAATCTTTGTTATTTATGAATACTTTGTGGCTTCTATGTACATTTTATGTGATTCAAATTTTTTTTTATTTACAGGCTCAGATGCCAGATCCTAAAACGTACAAGCAACACTTTGAGAATAAACATCCCAAGAATGGTTTACCGGACGATTTAAAGAATATATGAGGGTATACAAATTGTTGTAAACTGTGGGGATCTTGGATGCAAACGCAGAGAAAAATTGCTGCAATTGACAAAGTGATATAGTTCAACATTCATTTGATCTGATCATTGCATAGTTCCAGAAAATGAATTATACCTTGTTAGTGTTTTAACTAATATATTGCAATTGAAATTGTTATGCACAACTCAGAATAATAGGCAATTAATCATTTATTTGTAGAAATTAATGAATTATTTGCTATTGATTTGTAAAAGCTAATATTTCACATAAATGACATAATCTTTTTACATAAGCGCAATATTTACATTTTTGGTTGCATATATGTTTACAAATAAAAGTCATAAACTTGATGCAAAATTCGAAAAAAATATATATATTTTATAAGAAGAATACAGTAGTGTTAATTTCCTATTTCTGTTGAGAAAAAATGATATATAGAATGATATAAGTGATAATTTAAATAATTTTTTATAAACTGAAAATATTTTTATCACAATAGAACTTGTTATTACTTGATGACATTTTCCTCGTACAGGAAAGAACGTCTTCTCGTCAAATTTTTTAGTTTTTACTGTAAATTGTAAAAAGAATAATATTTTCTGCCATTGACTCTTCGTTGCATTTAACTAAATATTTATATTTTGATATATGACCTTACAAGAACAATTTTCCGATTTATAAGGTTGAATAAAATGCAGAAAAATTTTTAACTACACTGCCAATTTGTAGTTAATTGTATCGTATGTTTTTTGAAAATAAGAATAATATATGGTCAACTGAAGATATTATTACATAGCCCCTTTCCCTCATTTATCAATTAAATTATTTGTTTGTGGTTTAACTTGTAGCGTTGAACTAAGCTGTATATTTTATTTTATTACACAAAAGAATTAATATAACAAAATTTTATGCTTATTAAATACGGAGTGTAGTACTGGAAGTAGTGCAATAAATTAAGAATAATTTATTTTATATATAATAATTATATATAAAATAAATCTTTTTATACATAATTAAAATGTAAAACATGATCTATGATGTATGTAATATACGTTGAATTCAATAAAGAATCTATTATTCTTAATATATCATTAAAATTTTATACTGACACATATAAATTTACAAATTTGACGGTATTACGAATGCTTACAACATTTTTTAAGTATTTTTTGGAATCTATATTTTACGTTTCACCATAATAATTGTAATAATTACCATTGGAGTCTAATATTGTCTTACGACAAAATTTTCCTCTTCATATGAAAATATATATGCATGTGTAAGATAAGTGTAATTCATTCTAATTATAACACTAATACGCAGTGAACTACATTTTTATACTTTGCACCATAAACAAAACAACACGATCCAAAATTGCACACGTGAAAACGAACTTGTTCACAAAACTCGGATTAAAACTATGAAATTTGCTTGAATAATGGAAAATGTTTTATTTTAATAAAAAAAATAATATATTTAAAAAATTTTTATATTTTTTTGATTTTGTCAAACGAAAGCTAAGTATGTCTGTTTTATTATTGACACTTCATTAAATATCATATTGTACAAATATTGCAAGTGCAGGTGTTCGGATCGATTTCTCGCAGCCTTACGTCTTCCAATTTTTTTACAAGTCATCGACTCGCAAGTCATCGTACATTGCGTCACACATTAGATAGATTCTGGGCGTTGCAATCTGATGAAATAAACACTGTTCATTACATCCCATTTTTGGAATATAAATATTAAAAAAAAGTTTTTGTAATTATGACGTCAATATTAATATTGCCATATTTATCACATCATATAGCTCTGCACTATTATCTAATAAAAATTTATTATACAGATACAATAACGTGGAAGAATGAGAAAGCGGTATAAATATTGAATCCCGATTTCAAAAGTAATTTGCGATATTTAATTGACATTGAATCTTACACAAATAGAAACACGTATTATTCACTTGTAATTCCTTGGATAATTAGCAATTTTGATCACACTTTATTCGAGTCAACCGTAAAAATCTGTCTTTAGATCCAATTTTTTCGGAAACTGAAGTCTTTCACAACTTTTACGATGAATTATATCACTCATTTTTATCAGACGTTATTAAACTGAATCGTTGGTGTATCGTAGAAACTATTACATCACATTGAGAAGTAATCCAATGACAACGCTCGCCACAACGGTATTATAAGCGCACTGTCACAGCAATATTAACAAGTGATAACTACCACAGTGTATATAAATACGACGGTTATTGTACCACCGCGACAGTTTTCATTCAATTTTAGAGCAGTTTTCATAGCGATATCACGCATCAAACGAAAGTTAGATTATCGTCAATCGTGAAATTTTTCATTGAAGATACGATATAGAAGGTACGAGAAAATTGCAAATTTTATAAAATAACAGCTTAATCATTTACAAAAAAATTAATTTTAGAAATATAAGAAGAATTCATCTTAGATTTAAATTATAATTTCTATTTGTATACATATGTTTTATTGTTTCTTAATTTAATTAAATTAATTTCTAAATTAATTTAGATTAATTTCTTTAAGTTATTAAAAATTAAAGTAAGAAGGAATCATCGAGCTGTTCAAGAGTATTTTTTTTTTATTCAGGTTTCTCGTGACAGTAAATTTTATTTGCGAAAAATTTGATTTATTAGAAAAAAAATATAAAATAAAACAAAATAATAAAAATTATTCACACACTTATACATTTCTGTAACATGCATTACATTTCGACCCAAACGATTGATTCCATATTGCACGGTCAGGAAGATCAAAAAAATTAATAAAAATATATATTATATATATATAATTACATATATTAATATAATTAACGTACATATAATTTAATTTCACATTTATCAATCATTAATTAAATCATTAATTAAGAAATTAATTATCAAATAATTATTATCATAAAATGATCGAGTAAGTGTCACAATAACTAACTAACTTCTTTTGCGTGTTTCTATCATCACTATTCGAATTTTGATGTACGATTACTTCCGCACTATGATTTAATCCCTCACCGACATCGTTACGCACGCTTAATCAAAGTACACGTTGGCATTAGTATTCTCGAGAGTAAATAGAAAATGTTAGGAGACGCTGCAATTATGCTCACTGGCAACTCCCTACGGGCGCGCGGTGCCGTAACGCGGAGACGATCCTTCCCTCATTTGCCCTTGATGCAAACCTGATGCATACTTGATTCACGTCGAGAGCCCTTAATTACGATACGCGAGATAACAACAAGTTATGCAGAACGGCTATGATGAAGGCCCATCTGGACGATCTCGTGGTAAGTGTGGATAGGAACTACAGGAATAGGACACGTGCTCAACAGTTTGTAGCCTATTAATTATCGTGCCCGTTGTCAGATTTCATTGTCAAAGAGAAGACGCCTTAAAACTTTAGAATTACAAAAAAATAGTTAAAATTAATTAAAATACGTGGAGTTTCGGGTTTATGTTTTAAGATTGTGTTAAGTGCGCAATTAATTAAATTAACATAATTATTAATGACATACACAAATGCTCAAAGTGGTAGGCTGTAAAAATCATGTTTCACAAAATATTCTTGTAAAGTAAACATCATCTGATGATAAATAATTATATATTATATTAATAATGATATATTCATATTTAATCATGCGACATATGATCCGTTGAGGAAATATAATCTTGCCTATTTCATGTTATCTTGCCATAACTTCTTTTTATCGAGTATAAATAGACCACACGTAACATTGATTTAAATTCGCGTTTATTAAATTAAGTAACAATAGCTAAATTGCTATTGCTAAACAATATGCTAAATTGCGACTTAAAAGCATATTTAACATCTAAAGAGATAATTCTAAATAATTAATACATGTCAGAAGAAATATATTATGAAAGTAATATAATCTTACGACACATTGCATCATCGTTACGTAACATATTTGTAAAATTGAAATCCTCTGCAAAACAGTTTTGCAATATTTCCGCAATTTTTCTATGCTGTATAGAAAGAAATTAATCTAAATTGTTCTACATGATAAAAATGAAACAAAATTATATAAAAAGGGGAGAAGAATAGAAGAATAAAAACAGAAATTTCCAATAATTCACAATTTATGAATTGTTGAATTCCACAAATATTGGAAATTCCATGTAACATTCCATAATAAAAATTTCTAGCGATGTAATTTAATTTGTCTTCGTTTTAATTACACTCTAAAATATATGACTGGTTCTCCAGTTTTGTTCCAAAATCTCATGATGGTGGATTCCGTACACCGTACTCGTACGCCAGCCGAGGATGTGCAAGATCAATACGCGGATGGCAAAGCGGCGAAGATCTGGGAAGTCTTTATCGGCGACAAGCAGCAGCGTACGCAGAACTACCGAGACTTCCTGGTGGGCTTGCTTCAACGTAATGGATGCCGCCGAATATTGGATGTTGCCTGCGGCACCGGCATCGATTCCGTGATGCTGCTCGAAGAGGGCTTCGAGGTCATCAGCATCGACGCCTCTGATAAGATGCTCAAGTACGCGCTGAAATGCAGATGGGATCGTAGGAAGGAGTCTGCCTTTGACAACTGGGGTGAGCAAATAACGATGAAAATTGGACAAAAAAAAAAAAGAAATAAAATAGAAATTATCTTCTGAAATGTAAAGAAAACAGAGATTAATTTGTTAAGAGGACAAAATCAAGAAAGTTCTTCTTGATGCAACAGTTTAAATCTGTTTTTATTCTGAAATATCACGTTTCATACTAATATATATGTAGTCAATATTTGTAGTCAATATTCTGATAACGCAAGATTTTAAGTTCAATGCCATTGAGTATTTACAAGTTTTTCGATTAATAATACCGATCAATAATTGTGTAAAATTTAATCGTGCAAAACAATACGCACTTATATACAGAAATTGTGAAACCGCAGCCAGATAAAGCAATTTAAAGCAAGGCAATGGCGCATTGCTTGACAAAAACAACCGGAATGCTATCAGTAATAGAAGAAATATAGAAAGGATTCGCGTTATCAGTAAAGGTCAATCATGACTTTTATTTTCCATATCATGATCTTCAACCTCGTGATCATGTAATACATTTGTAGATTAAAACGCAAAATAATTTAATAATTTATTGATAAAATTAAAGCAAGAAATACGCATAAGAATTTACATAATAATATTTTACCTACAATTGAATTTGTAATAAAAATCACTTCATTTACATAGACATAATGTCTAAAAAAAAAAAAGATATAAACACATCTTAAAATATTAGGAAATATTTTTCGAATATTGAGAAATATATTGTCTAGAATAAAGTGGTAAAATAAAAAATAAATATATTTTAATGAGATGATATTTAATGAGAGAAGAAATTTTATATAAATCTGTCAAAAAATCTATTACTTATATTTATATCTATAATCATTATCATTTTGATTTCCTGGATTGCAACAGTGATTGAAGAGGCAAATTGGCTGACTCTATCTAGCGATATTAGTCATCTCATTGGAGAAGGTTTTGATGCCGTTATATGCTTGGGAAACAGTTTCGCTCATATGCCTGATTCTTTTGGTGATCAGAGAGAGCAAAGGTATATCAAATTTATCATCATCAATCATATATTGAATTAGATTATCTATATTAATTTAATGAAGCGAGATAATTTTCAAACTATGCTTTGCAAAAGCTTACTTTAAAGATAATCAAACTTAATAAATTTGTATAAATTTTGTGCATTAAATTTATGTATTAAATTTTACATGTTAAAAAAAGATACATTAGAGAATGTTTGCTTTTAATTTTGCATTATTTATAAATCATATTGTTTTAGGCGAGCTTTGAGGAACTTCGAGCGTTGCGTAAAGCCAGGAGGTTTACTGTTCATTGATCACAGAAATTATGATTACATAATCGAAACCGGCAAAACTCCCCCAAGATCCATATATTATAATGTAAGTATCATTCGCACATAAAGAAAAAATATAAAATCATTATTATTTTACAAAAATTTCGAATAGTTATTTCGTATTTGTCTATCGTATTGAAACAATCATGTTACTTTCTTTTTCTTCCGTCATTTTCGAAAAGCATGCACATTTAGAATTTTTCGTATTGCAGAGTCAGCATATGACGGATATCAAAACGTCGGTGCTCTACGTGGCCGGAAAGCCTGTGACCGTTATGATGGATTATGTAATCGCTCTAGACGAGAAGGACAAAAATAATCCTCAGGCCGTCAACGAGTTCAGGCTGTCGTATTATCCTCACAAATTATCAATTTTCCGCGATATGCTGGCCGAGACGTTTGATCACAGAGCAAACTACACTATTTATGGCGATTTCAAGCCGCTCAATCGCGTGAAGAATCCTGGATTCTACATCCACGTGCTGGAAAAACAACGTTAAAACCAAGCAGCGACATGAACAGTCGGTTTAATTAACAAGACATTCGTTCCTGAACAATATCACCGGTTTTTTTGGGGGACAGTCGAACATTCTATCACCGAGATTGAAGATTATTCACTGTAGAATGTTTAAAACGCATCTGTTCAAGGGATGAGGTGAAAATCTATTAGAGCAAGATGTGAATGAAAAAGACTTAATCAAAAAAGAGGACTGAAATTACTATAATAATTACTATAATAATTACTATAATAAATATTATTAATATATTAATATTATAAAATTAACAAGTATACTAATAAAAATATATTTTATACACATAAATTGTCAGAAATATTCTTTAATATTATCTAAAAAAAATCTCTATTAAATAAACAAAAGCAAAAAGAGTATGAATAAGAACCTCGGAAAGGATAAGAGAATTCTTATTTGAGAAAGATGTGTTCCGAAAATGACACACAAGAGTATTTTAATGTTTTTATTATAAGTCTGAAAGCAGCTTTTTCATTGAGTATTCTAGCCAGGCTTCGTTCGATGCTACAATTTGATTTCTCAAGAATATTTTCCGAGCGATCGTTGACGATGATTTGCTGGATAATTTTTTTGGACGAATTTTCGTGTCTTCGCGCTTTCTCTCTCTCTCTCTCTCTCTCTCTCTCTCTCTCTTTCTTTTTGTCTTTTGCGCAATTGATGCTTCAAATAACGCGTAAATTCGGGAATAGTAGGAAGACTAAACGTTTGCTGCGCACGAATCGACTACCTTCTACGATTTTCGATTTTGCATGATAACTGACCGCAAACGATCGAGCGACGATGCGATTTCTACAAGAGATGCGTCATTCGAAAATCAATTCGGTTGTCTCTTCTTTTTTTTTTTGCAATGTCGTTGCACAATTTTCATCCGAGAATTGACGTCAGCACACACGAGACACGTCTATTCACGTCATCAGTCGTCAATGATCGTTCCAACTTAAAATTATCGGCGCAGAAATTGCTCTCTCGCGAACTCTTACTTAATCCACCCCCGCGCTCGTTCTCTCCCTATCGGGCCCCACAAAACTTTACAAGAGTCTTGTCGCCGCGCAAAGAGTGCCGTGCTATCGCAGAAATCGAACCTCAAGGGATCGCCGGTCAGCAGAGTAATTTTTTTATGAAAGAGAAGAAAAATGGGAGACGAGAGAAGGAGAAAGGGGCGGAGAGGGAGAGAAAAATAAATTCGATCACGTTCGATTTCTTCGATGTACTTTCCGCGGCACTGCGAAACCAGGGGGTACTTTTTCATCGGAGAAGTGACTGAGGAGGACAATAATTTACAAGGCCAAGGACTTGTGTTACAAGTGCAACGAACTGCCCATATAGAAAAATGGACGAAGTGTTATAGCAAAAATCTCTTTCTCCCCCTTCTATCAATATATATACGTATGTATTTATATATTTATACTTTTTCTGTTTTTTTTTTCTCTGTTCAGTAGCTATCTATATAGACTCTCTCAACCATTTTTTTTGTTTCATGAAATTCGTACAGTACCTATCACGGCTTCTTCGATCGTCGTTGCGAACACTGTCGTCGTCGTCGTCGTCGTCGTCGTCGTCGTCGTCGTCGCCGTCGTCTCGTATCGAATTTCTCCATATTTAAGGCTCTCGAGATTGCGCGCGACGATTGTAACATGCTACTTAGCGTGTCGCGGCTATATCGTACATATAATAACACAATGGTAATACGCCTAAATTATACTGTTTCAAAGTTTATTTTAATTCACCATCGCATGATGAAACGAACATTTTATGATTTAAGTCGCCGCTTTCGTTAATCCTGATTAAAATATACAAATTTACGCGGAAAAGTAGATAGACATCGCTGATAAATGGGCTCGCGATTGAGAAATTTGATACGTTTCGTCCTGATGAAGCTCTTTCGTTTGAATCTGCAATCTAATCGTGACAATAATATAGGAAATAATATAAATTCGTTTTCTCGATTATTGATAGTCAAAGACAGTAAAGCTTTCGCAGCAACTTCCGAATTTGTACGTGCCGTGTTGTTAACTCGTTGTGACGAGTCGTGAAAATTGACTTGCTTCTTGAAACTTTGTTTCGAGCTAGTAAGCATACATAAGGTCAGGGACGACGACTCGTGTTACGACATTGTCGTTCGAATGGCGATTGTTCATATTATTGCGAAGTAGCTGATATAAAAAATCGTAATATCGTATCTATTGCGTTTATATTCTCTTGACTTTACGTCCAATGACGATCTGCCCAGTGAAGGTTGCACAATATGAATCACGAGATGCTAGAAGAATAGAATTATTTTTAAATATCTTTAGATATCGTTAAGTATATTTATATATTTTACTTTAGGTACTATATTCTTTTTTGTATTTCTATCACGATCAAATTATTGTGAATGAAAAGAACGAGCTCAGAATTTCCGCGAGGGTTTCCACGATAAGCGAAAATTATTACGGCGTAGCGCAGTGACAGTGAAATTAAGACGATTTGGTCGAACGGGGCAGATCGTGAACGGAGAGAAACTTTTCATTGTACAACCGTATGCGCTCATTGTTATGTACATGCTCATTTTTGCTCCTTCCTCGCGATTTTTTTCTTTGTTTTTTTTTTACAAAACTGTGCACAATATTTAACGAGCAAAGACCCTTCGTCCAATTTCATATCTTTCTTGAGATATATAGATTGCTTATACTGTATATACTTATTTATCGAAAGCTGCGATATCACATATGGCCTCATGAAGAGTTTAACAAGTGGTTTATAGTTAGCCTTGAAGAGCACAACTTGAAGTTCCCACTTCGAATTTAAGTGTCAGTAGCTTTGTCGATGTTGCGACTTGACAATGTCCGCTTCGATATTTCGAAAGCAATCGTATCACATGTACTTTATTTCCTCAATTAAGAATCTTTATTTCCTGAATTAATTATCTGCATTTAATCGCCAAATGGTTCCGTTTTCGTCTTATTTATGTTATAGATTTGTTTGTGGTCTTCATGGTTAACAGGAATCATCATCTTCTCTGATCTCGAAGGTGATATTGCTTCGTTAAATTCTGGCACGCGTTAATATCACTGATTATTTAGCAAACTTTCATTCGTAATCGAAGTTTCACACGCGTTTTCTCCCTTCTCGCGCCGCCGCATCTTCTTATCGTTGTTCCTGTGTGAATTATCTGCTACTTGCAGTTCGTTGGATCGCGAACATATGATGTTGCCGTATCTCGCACTGATAGCAGTTGCGGAATATTCCGGATAATATTCCGGTGTTGCGATCGGCGAGCAGCCGAATTTTTACTAAGCGATGAGGCGCGAAATTGCCATGTCGGGATCGTATCGCGTGTGTTTCCGTGCTGTGGAAATTTTCCGCTCTTTTCCGCCGTGATAAGAAAAGGCAGTAACTAATTGACAAACTGGATCCTCATTTTTATCAGATTTTTCCACCGCAGTATAACACAGTTTGCAAGTACAGCTGTTGCCCGTTTTTTTCTGCATTCCTTCAGAGTTAACGACATGGATTGGGAAATCAACATTGCAAAGTTTATCTTATCGCTAAATTTTTTTACAAAGAACTACAAACGTTTTACAAAAAATCGAGTTTGGCAAGAAAAAATTTTACCGCCTATTTCATTATCACGGCATTTAGCCATCATTAATTTAGGCTGTTTTTTTAACTGTTACGATAAACTTGTCTTTCTGAATATTAAATTTTAATTTAAACATCTCGCAAATTCTGATTTTAAACAAAGCAATAGTATTGCAATTTTATATTACATAGAGTTTCTCTTCTGGTTATTTAGTTTGTTCGATATGGTCGAATTAGATTCGATTATATAAATTTTGTCAATATGTTGAAAGATATTATTGAAACGCCACGGATGACGATCCCGATCATATTGTGAACTGCGTTCGCACAAACGTTGCATTCTCATTTTCGACAAAATTGCATTGAAATTACAGAAATCGAGCACTTTAGCCTATAACGGCCCGCGCGATATGATTAGTGCATGAAAAATCTCAGCGTTTCAACATGATCGACGCGCGATAGACGTGCGGCTTAGTCGCTACAGTTTCAACAGTGTTAAACCTTTTCTTTGCGTATAAGTATATAAACTACGATAGAGCCAGCTATATCGTTTCTGTCTCTAAAATCTATTTAACAAAGTCCTCGTAACTGCTCAATAATTCATCTTTCATAACATGAAATTATATATCTCTATTTACTCTTTGTCTCTTATTATATATATTTATATATGTACACGCGCATATGTGTATGTAACGTGTGTGTATGTACGTATGTACGTTTGCATCTATACTTTCGATTTGATCAAATGATTTCGGTGATGAGAATCGCGCTTTTGCTCATTATGTGGTCATTGAAACTAAAAATTAATCTCTTATTACTATATAATTATTATCCAGATAGTCAACATTGCTAACATTTTTCTTACTGGGTATGTAAGAATTTTCTACTGTTGTACTATTGTAAAAAATTAAATAAATAAATTTAATTTTGATCAATTAATTGTAAAAGAATTAAATAAACTAAAATGATTAAATGCAAAGCAGAAAATGCAAATTTTGGTAATTAATACAAATTAATCGCTTCCAACTCTTCACAAAACTCGTCCCGAATAACTCAGATTCGATTTAATCAAAGTTCGCAAAACATTGATTGTCAGCTCATTAGAGTATTGAATTAACAAAAACGCCATTCTCGCTTGCAGCATCAGCACGTTTCCTCACATCTGTATGACCAATATTATGCAAATATATATACATGTCATATTACAAGATATATACATCTAATATTGCTGTTTGGCTTCGTATGCGTATCATACGAACTTACGAGCGTAGCGCCATTCCTGCGTAATAATACTATTTTGCACGAGAAAGTTCTCCTAACAACTTAACGTCTTCATCAACTTGACGAGCAAATTTTCCAAGTCAAATCACGCTTCTTCTCAGCTTCCTAATCGTCACAGTAAACGCGAGAAGATTGAATCATAATTGAGCGACACGAAACGTTAAATGTTATCAAAAATATTTTCCCAATTTAGAATTCTTCAATGTAATCGGCAAAATTTGTAATAGACAATAATGTTAGAATAATACAAAATTCTTAATGGAGAATATAACGGCAATGGTCAGATTACGCGGAATTAATTTGGAACTCTTATTGTTAGCGTTCGGTTTCAATCGAAACCGCTTAAGTCGCACTTGCAATATGCAACAGACCGTGACGATGATTCTATCTTGAACAGAACGACGATCACATTTGCAATTCCATTGATTGTTTGTCGAGCACAACGAGCAATTATTTCGATTTGTATTCGATTTAGCCGTCCTGCTGTGCCGCTCTAATTATCCAGCGATGCTCGATATCTTTAATGCATTCAAAATGAAAAAAAAAACGTTCGATATTCAAATCGAAGACTTAACCGTCTCACAACCAAGATAAATTCCTTCAGATCGGTGGCGCCCAAACCACAGGTGTCAAAATTGATTGATTTCCCTTCGCAGGGAATTAGATCGGCGCGGTGAATCCTCGGAGCTTACATTCAGGTAGCTTTGCTATTGCAATACGTATTCATATCTGTCTACAGGAAGATCATATATGCTCGATCCATTCACTCTCTCGGATAACTCGATTAAACCTCAAGACCGAACCGACCAAAGAAATGTAAGTAGCAGAGTAGCGAATGTAGATATAAGACTTCAAAATTGAAAAAAAAAGAATATTTCAGGAACGCTTTAGCAATTTTTTAAAAAAGTTAAAAATTTGTATATCCATTTTTTGTACCTAAAATAATTATTGGAGATCTAAAAAACATATACATATATATATATAATTTTATTTAAAAAAATTAAATAATTTTGGAACAGAAAAACAGAGAATACTTTTAATTATTTTGTATATAAAGTTTTAAGTACGCACTTAATTAATGCAAACGTCTTCAATGCATCGGGTCGGTCTGAAAGACATTACTACATATCTGTTGAGAATTCACTCGGTTGCTAGACTACATATCACCAAGATTTCGCTTGGGCACCACCATTACAAGTTACATCATAAATCTCGCGCTCAATAATGCACTCGCAATCACAAAACGTCTCGTCGAGTGAGACGCTAGCTTGGTGTCGACGTGAATCGTTCTGATTGTGGCCGGAGAGGCTTAGAAATCTAGCGTAATCGTCATGATTCTATCGCGAGTTCTTCGCTATGCGATGCGTGTGAACCTACATCTATCTACGTGTACATGTGTATGTGTCTCTGCGTGTGAGTATACAAAGTGGGTATATCCCCTCGGAGAGTTTCGATGTGTCTCGAAGAAGCCGTCGCAAGCGAGTAATTCGTAATTAAGACTGCATATATTTACCTCGTTAGCCGTATCACTTTTGGCCATGCAGAATTACGCCGGCGTATTTGGCCGTTCAAAGCGAAACCTTCATTCGCCGTTCTCCTCTCGACTCGTTTCGAAAAGCGATTAGCGAAAATTGCGGAGCTCCTCTCTTTAAATTATATATTATTTATATATTACCAGAGTATATTGGACATAATTATCGACGCGTCAGATTCGTTAACGGCGGTGTCCGCCGTCCCGAACAGAACAGAGTCAGTTTACACGGTTGCGTCACCGGAGAACTCCAGGCACACGCGTGAGATGACCGACGACAGCCGAATATCTTCCAGCCGCACCGAAGGATTGAACCACCGCGTAACGAAGAAACAACGAAACGTTAACTTTTGTTCGATGTATGTAGATTTTAGAATAAGATAGTCGCGCGAAAAATGCGTCGCGTCGTTCGGCGAACTCGCGTCCCCGCGAGATTAAAACGCTAAACTACCAAGCGTATTGTGTGATGAACCTTCGACCGCGTCGCGGCAGATTGTCTCGAGACGATGAAAGAAAGTGAATAACCGACGCAAAAAGAACTTTCATAAATATTCCCTCGGTCGGGGTGGCGGTCTCTTACGTTCGGACCTCTCAGTAGTCCTGTCGCTCGGTCCACCAGTCGAGTCCCGGTCGTCGGTGCACTCGAGCATCTGCGTGGTCTCCGTGGCTTCCGACGGGCTCATTGGCTGCGTGGCAAGCGGGGCGAGCGGCGCCGCGCCCTTGTTGCGCGACTTGCTGCGTCGTTTGCGCAGGATTAGCGGCCCCAGGGCGTTGGAGTCGTCGCCGCGCGACGTGGAGGCCTGCGTCAGCCGTTCCAGCAGCTCCTTGTTGACGTCCCGCGACGACGACGACGACGATTGATGGTGATGGTGATGATGATGATGGTGCTCCTGGCCGCTCTTCGGCATGCGCTCCGTCGCCGTCGACTGCTCCCGATAGCCCTCGCTCGGCGTCGTGGACGTCGACGTGGTCGCAATTGACGGCTTGCACTCCGTGGTCTGCGTCGCAGACTGAACCAACGTTATCACACTCGGTGTAACAGGTAGCTGGACGCTGCCGCTGTTGCCGCCCAGAGCAAAATTCGGGGTCTTCTGCTGCTGAGAACCGCCTCCACCGCCGCTGGATGGCGGTGTACCAGCGACCGGCAGCTTGCTCATCAGTGCCTGCAGCATGTCTTCGATCTTGGCCAGCCGCTGATTTACCCTCTGCACCTCCAGCTTCAGGTCCACCTTCACTTCCAGCACCGCCGCGAGGATCTCTCGTTCGTGGCACGGCTGATGCGTGATTAGACCGCCGTCGTAGCTTTCCAGACGTCGCAGCTGCAGCTGCTTCGAGTCCACGCTGAGGGCCTGTTGCTGCGCCGACTGTTGCTGTTGTTGCTGATCGTCCTTTGAACTTTCGACATTATCGCCAGCCTCCTCGATCGTACCGCTTAGTTTGCCGAGTTTTGGGAAGACCTTGTTAGTGCCAGCGCTCGAGCCAGGACGCGAGTCTCTAGCACTGAGAGATCGCTTGAACGTATCGCCAACCGTGCCCGACTCGCTACCGGAATCTAAACTCGAACTACCTGCACCATTACAGATTTTTTATGGCTTTATTATTTAATCAAGGATTCTCTTTCAAACAATTTAACATTTTTAATAATAATTTATTATTAAAAAATATCATTAAAAAATGCTAAACTGATTGAAAGTTACGGAAAGCAGTTATAGATTTTCCAACGTGGAAACGCCGGGATCAATATAAACTATACGTTTTATATCTTAAAATTAATTTTACAATCTATTAATTATTTTTGATTTTACACATTTTTCCTACCTAATAAACGACCCCACTTGCCCGGTCGCGTCTTCGCGACAGCTGTTCCTCCTTCTTCGGCAGTGGACTGCTTCCTGGTGTTCGACGTCTCGCCGTCCTTGGCGTCCTTACCGTCGCCCTTCTCCACATCGGCAGTGTGTTGTCTCTCTCGGCGAAACCTACACGACGCAGTCGAAAGAGAGAAAACGGAGAATCATCAATATTTCGCTCGATACAAGCAATTTGCAGAGAAAGTATATGCTTACATATACAAAGAGGAGAAATTACAATAAAAGGCTGGTTACTCCCTAGACATTTGGACCAGGGCAGCAAAAGTACAGATGCATATAGAGGGGCGAGAGTGTGATGAAGGGGTGCTGGACAAAAGACCGTTCTCACCGTGAAAAACCTGATTGCCTATTTCTTATTTCTTTCTATCAATTTATTCTCCCTTTCGATCCGATTCAACGATCTTCATGGTGCATGCCCCGAGCTAGTTCGGGATCTCAAGCTAAATCCTCGAGTTCTGCGTTACAGCGCAGATAGAATGCGATCGCCCACTATAATCGAGGGCCTAAAAAAAAAAGAAAGGCTGCTCCGGCCGGTTGGTGGTTTCTCGAGCGACCTACGGTGCGACGTGGCTACGGGATCCACGACGGATGGTGGACAACGTTGGCGAAATATATATATATGTATATATATACGGGACGGAGAACGTTGGTAAACGCCGACGGTGTACTTCGGCTAATCGATCGCGGGAAAATTCTAGATTAATCCAATTCCTAACGGAAAGCAATTAGTGAATAGTAGCGATAGTACTGCTCGGTAGTAATTCCTTAAGAAAATCGATATTGAGTGTAGTAATTTCTCGGAGAAATAAGATAATGATAGCTTCTCCCTCATGAAATCCTACAATCAGGACACGTTCTCGTAGTACCGTAACGTTTGAATCACCGTAGCTTAGGTAACTCGCTCTGTAATTATGCAGGCTCTTCGCGTGCCGAAACTTTTAATTCGACTCAAATCTCGCGAGATTAACGGTATTTAATACAATCTTAAGACGGTCCTGTACTTTTTACGAGTCTCGCCTCGTTGTACTAATACCAAATTAACTGCGAATATCGTCGTGTTCGAGATCTTCGTTAGGATTCGACAAGTGTAAAGTAGAAAGGCGATATTGCTGTCAAATAAAACACGAATTAAAATGTAAAAAAATCATGAAATTTTCTACCGACCAGCGTCGACCAACGTTTCGATACATCTTCAGGCAATAAACGACAATCGGGATAAGAATTTGCCCGACAAACTTTGGGAATGCCACACTGTTGAACATATTAAACGCGACAAATAGTTGCATTACAGTTATTAATTATTGGCATAGCCGCAGCTCTCTATGAAACGCAATCCGCGCAGGCAGCGGAAAATGTTATTACGCGCGTATCAAAGCGTGCCCTTTTCCGGAAATTGATTAACAATTTAATTAAATTTTTCATTACTTTTCTTCATAGACGCATTGATATGTAGTCACATATTTTATTGTAATTTAAATTTTAATTAAATATACAATCGAAAACGCTAAATGTATTTTGTATGTAAAACATTTCTCTTTAATAAGTTTTATAAAATTCTATAAAATATCGAAATATCATCATGCATGCGATCGAATCGATAAAAGATACTAAGACTTTTCACGTCTGATTAAGTAGAAGTTGTTATTATTTTTTTATAAATTCTACTAACGTATTAAAAACCTACTGATAAAATAAATTCGTAAAGATATTATTTCTCATTATAATCATCTCTAAAGACAAACTCGATTTTGTCATGCAAATCACAAATCAACATTGTCTATTATCGAATTATAAAATGCCTTCCGACACAGTTGCAATGATAATTGTTATAAAAACTATCGCAGGTGATGAATATAAGTTAATTAATTATGCTATAGAGAAAAGTAACGTAAGGCTGTCACAAGTCAAGACTCGAGAAGAATTATCAGCGGTGAAAGCATGTTGTATGTGTGAGAATCAAGCAGCTGAGAATGCGAAAGTCATAGATATATAAAATCACTGATGATTACATTAAATAGAAATTTTTGAAAAAGAGAACAGAATATTGCAGCTGTAAGTCATAAACGTAGCATGATGTTCGCGCAGTTTCCTCTCTGGCATTCCAGTAGTTTCTCGGGCAGCTGCATGACAGTAATTTATATACGTTTGTACGTGTATACGTACTCGTAAAGATATACAAGTATATAGGAGACAAAAAGAAGTCTGAATCCTAGAGTGTGTGCGTTCGTCGCATGCACTTCGCTTTGCATAAGAATCGAAGAAGATCGGATGCTCGTCAAACACGTCAGGATTTCGGACAGTTTGCCACCTCGGCGACAGCGTTGCCGGTGTCTCTACGTGCGATTAGTAATTACACGCGTGATCTATTCGAATAAAATATCATTTGCTTATTAAAGAGGAATCATGTTAATATTAATTAAGAAATATTATTGATACTAATTAAATATACTCATGACTCAGATGACTGTTGTTACAACATTACAACTACTTCATTCTAGCGCTGAAAAACTGGCGGATAAAGTTGCAAAGCTATACATCCAAGGATGTTGAAAACTATACGAAATCCTGCAATTTGCTCTAGAAAATTCTGGCTTTTAGATATAAAAAGTATATATGATATATAAGAAAGATGCGCATGACCGTCTAAAGCCATATATTTTACAGCACTCTAGCATTCGTTAGAAACTGCAGTGATCATTAAAATGATAATGATACGATACCGGAAGTGAAGTATACGTCTCGTAAATATGCCGCTGAAAGGACGAACAAATCGGAAGATTTTTCTATCATCTTTCATTAATGATCTTCAATATATAAGCATAATTGTAAAATAAAAATTGCTTGCGAGAAATTGTCGAAAGCAATCGTTATTTAAAAATTTTCACTTAGCTTGTTTTCTAATAATTCAATAAATATTCATAAAACATTGTCGAAGTATTAAGAAAATACTGGCAATGGAATCGTCTCGATTTCATCAACTTTGGTAAGTTAAATAAAAATGAGTTCGAAGAGAACGAACGTGAACTCGGCCATCTTCGACGGAGGAGAAATTCCGCAGCGGTCGATCGACCGCCAATCTCGATTTGCTCGTGTTCCGACGTAGACGTGCGATGAAAATTTATCGTTGTTCACATTTAAGCGTGTGTACAGCAAGTGCACGTACGTGGATACCTTCCGGCTGGCACATTACGGGACGCATTACGGTATTCGCCGCAGCGAATGAATGCGAGGGGGGAAGCGCTTGAGCGTGTGTGCAGGACATTCTCGAATGACAATGACAAATTTCAGCTCTGAGGAATTTTCGAACGATCTGCGATCGATTCCTTTTGGAAGTCTATCTTGGATCCTTTTACGCTTCTTTGAGCTTGAACGTTAAACGTCTCTCAGTGTAGCTGAGCGTTAAATTAAGATTTTGTCAAAGTGAAATCCATGAAATTAAATAAAAAATTAATTAATTTAAATGCCATTTATATAAAATTGTTTATAAATTAAACGCTTCATTTATGTTAGAAGAAGTTGACCGCGAGTTGAAGGTAAAATTTGATAAAGTTTGTCGATGTTACACAAGAACATCCTGCATGTACGTATCACACCCGTTTTAAATAATAATGCGGCTTAATCCTTTATTTGCTCGATTAACGTAATTTTGTAAAATTACAAAATAAAAATTTTAGCTTGGATGTAACTTATTTATAAATAGAAAGATTCTATCTCACTGCCATTCGCAATAGAGAAATGCGCAACGAGACTTCTCTAATTAACAAAGCTGAAACCACCAAAAATGCAAATGTCGGATTAACTCGCGGAGATACGTGCATCACGCGCGCCATGGTATACAGTATATTTATGAATATTACATATGTACACATGTACGAATATTGAAATAGGTATTATATGTATAATGTAATATACAATATAATATCATACATCGCAATGGGTTATTAATAAATCTGCCATAGTCATAACGACGGCAATCGTAATAATAACAAATGTAAATTCAACGATAAAGGATAATAATAATAATAATCATAGTAATGATAAATATATAATAATATAAAGATGTGTACGTAGCGAGGAAAACGGCAAAAAGGAAATTGGAGAAGAAATAAATATGTAAGAAAAATGAAATTGCCTAAAACTCGGCCAGGGCGGCAGGACGTTCACGGTGAGCTCCTCGTCGGAATCCTGAGACCGTCCGCTCACGGTCCTGGTCATGCCGATTTGGCCTTCCCCGTCGGTCTTGAACCTTTTCGGAAACAACAGGCCAGCCAAGCAACACGATCAACAATCACATTCATCAACAGCACACGGATGATAAAAATCGTCCGTGATAAGTTCTGTGTGGTCTTTTATTTCTTTCTTGCTTTTTTTCTCTCTTTCTCACTTTTGTTCTCTTCCTCTCTCTCTCTTTCTCGCATGTGTTACGCAGAATGTAACGCGTGCACGCACATAAAAATATAACATGTTAAAATAATTATAGATGGATTAAAATAATCCATCAGTAGCTTTTTATGAGCTCAGTTGAGGTTTTAATAAACGCGCTTTGACAATGTTCGTCAGTGACTAGTATCTAATATTTTTTAATTAATTTTTTAATATTTTTTAATTTTTTAAATTTGGCCGCAAATATAAAAAGTTTATGAATTGTAAATTAGGACATATGTATTATCCGTAAGTCGTAAGTAATTAGCGCACCGGATTATTTTAAATAAATCATGATTATTTTATTAGACGAAAAATAGAGACAGAAATAACAATCGCAATATAATTATGAAGGATCACGTATTATTGTATGCGTGCACGCGTATCTACATATATCATAAATTATTATGCAGAATTTTACGATTTATCGTACGTCGGAAATTACATTCACTTATATCTAGTCATTACGTACGGCGAGAAATTCTGAATATGAATATTGCACTTTTTACTGCATGCTTCGATAAATGTTAAAATAAATCGAAGCAGACACCTTCGATTATTAATGATGTAACGGAAAATCAGAAAGTCGTCGATTACAGATTGATGCGGATTTGTAACAACTGTAATTTGCACAGCTGAAATTCCATTCTGCGAAATTGAGATCTCGTTTTCCGAAGTGAAAAATTATTTAAAGAATTGTCGGACATTTTTATATATTCTGCGCAACATTTATTTGCAGATTTCCTGAAGATTAAGTGTGCAATTTCACAGAATGGATATGCGCATCTATTTCTTTTAATTCGTCTATTTGTTACAAAGATGGATGACGGGCATCAAGCCCGATAGCACATATTCGATCGTATCCGGTAACCAGTGGCTACTCTAGCAAATGTTTTCCTACCTTGAAAAAATCTTGCGAACCAGATGATCCTGAGCTTGATCCAATTGCGGCTCATTCTTCCTCCTCTCGGCCAATTCTTTTTCTCGACGGACATCGGCGACTTTTCGAAAGATAAGCTGCACACAGAATTTAATTCAATTTTATCACAAAGTAATGTAAGAAAAATCATTGTTTAAGTAACAATCGTAAAAATATAGACACAATATCTTCAACATATTGTGATCACCATTCTTATTAAAAACGATTTTAATAACTGCAATTATTTTCTATGATAATTATATTCAATTTCTTAATTATTAAATATCTATATCTTTGTAATTAATAATTTTAGCACTTAAGAGCACTTAAGAGTACACAAAAAAAGTTTACTAAAATTTTTAGAAATTTCTTAACAGAGAAGAGGAAGATAATCTTCGTTTAAATGATACTTAACAGTAAGGTGTTTTCGTGCCAACGCAAAAATTGCGTGGAAACATCCGACGCGTTTTGGCTTCGAAGTATTGTACACATATGTCATCTTGTAAAGGTCGGGTCATTTTATCTCACCACTCGCTTGAAAAATTGCACAAGTTGTGCAACGCACTTATTCCCTTTTGAGTGAGAGCACATTTCAAAATTCCGCGCCCCCTTCAGTCCATTCCTCCTTCCTTTATCCTTCGTAATCTTTTCGTTCTTTGCAATATCCGACAATCGTTCGTGTAAAATAATCATTTCAGTAAAGTTTCATTTAAGTCCGTTATTTTGGGAGATTTTTTGTGAGCGAAAACACGTATGCGAGAAAAATGCATATAATATAACTTATGCATATAAATACATAAATGACGCATATGCGCAGGCCGATGACGCAGCAGATATAATGAGGGTGAGAAAAACAGATGACGTTATTTCCGGTTTTTTATTTTACTCTTCGAGCTATACGTGCGACTTAAAACGGACACTTAAAACATTTCTACAAATACTATTATTACATTTAAATTTACATACAATTGCTTTTTAACTGCACCAGTTTAGTTTAATCGTAAAAATTTAGATTTCTTTCTTTTTCCTCTCTCGCATTCCATCTCTCCCTCCTTTTTCCACCCCTTTGTGCTAAAGGATCACATTGTTTGCTCGACAACTCGCTATTACGTCACTGCGCTGCATCCCTTCCACATTATTGGAACGAAAGCGAAGCGATTGTTCCGATGAGCCTCAGAATTTCACCGTCGATTTTCATTACTCGTGCGCGACGAATGAGGGAAATGCACCAACGATGCATAGAAGATGCATACGCGGCGGCGAGCGGCGAAAGTAGTGGCGCAGGCGTGATGCTGGAAGTCGATAGATGTCGATAAGAGGCGCGCACACGTAGCAGCGGGTAGCTCGCTCGCTCGTGTCATCCATAACCTCCAAGTCTGTTGCTCATTATCGCTCGTCGCGATCTGCAAGTTGATCGCACGATCGTCATCGTTCACGCGGCGATGTGACATGACATCGTGAAGAAACGTAAGCCGACACGTGCCTGATCTGAAAAAGGCACGGAGTGGTGTTCTCTTTTCGTTCTCGACATCTACAGGGCGACCAAGTGGAAGACGAGGAGGTATATGGACTGTCGAGAAAGATTGCTCGTTCGTATGAAAGGTATGCTAAATACATTGATGATTATATAATAGAAAAATGTAAAAGTAGAATGGAATTTACATTTGAGATGAGCATGTTGATAGCTATTATGGAACATGACTTTTCCAGATGGGTCATGGGTCGAGCCGTTCAGCTTCATCGAATATCCTCTCCGCGGACGAGTTGACGTTAGTGGAGAACCTGTTTAAGTCTATGTCCCGCAGCTCGGGTTCCATCAAACGCGAAGACATATTCAAGCACTGGACGACGCATTTGGACGATGTGTTGCTGCAGTTTGTGGTACGGTTCCTCTGCCATGAACCAGGCAAGAGGGTTACGACGGTCAACGGTGAAAATTTCGGTCGGCTTTACGTCTTCGCCGTGCGTGGCAGTCCCGAGGAACGCACAAGTCTAATCTTCGACGGTTTCGCGGAGGAAGAGCAGAAGTATGAGATGCCCACTCAAACATTCCTTCAGTATATTCAAGCAACGATCAACTCCTACTTGCGACTGCAAAAGAACTCCGGCAATGCGTATCATCTCACCTGGAGCAGCATCGGCTGCACCGTCAACACCAGGCGAATAGGGATGCGTTCTCGCAGTCTCTGCGAGGAGCTGATAAAGTACGGAGATGTGCTGACCATCGATCAAGTGGAGAATTGGTTCATGACAGCAGCAGCAGCGTTCAAGAATATTCAGTCGCACGTTTTTCAGTACCTCTATTTAGTCTCCCAGAAGAAGGGTAGTGATAAGAACACAGCTGCGCGGATAAACGATCTGAATCTTTTGCCGTTGTGCAAAGGTTTGGAAAATATACCGCACTTCCCGAGTATACTAGGCTTAGGTGATGTTCTGTTCCTGAATCTGAGTCTACCGCACGAGCTCCGTAACGAGTGGCGATTTCTGTTCTCGAGCCAAGTGCACGGGGAATCGTTCTCCACTATGCTGGGCAGAATCGCGATGCAAGGCGCGACGATAATCATACTACAAGACATGGATGACCACGTGTTCGGCGGCTTCGCCTCCGACAGCTGGAGACTGGGACCGAATTTCATAGGGAATCAAACGTCGTTTCTGTTCAAGCTCGAGCCGGATATACTGACGTTTCCATCGACGAATTACAACAATCACTATCAGTATCTCAATCTCCATCAACAAACGATGCCTAACGGCCTGCTCATGGGAGGGCAGTTTAATTATCCCGGCCTTTGGTTGGACTGCGAATACGGCACCGGTAAATCGAGCTTGTCATGTACGACCTTTCAGAGTTATGTACAACTTAGCGGTAGGGAAGATTTTAAAATCAAACATTGCGAGGTGTGGGGGGTTGGCCCGGTGCCAGACGTGGAGGAGGACGTACGCGAGGTGAAATCCGTGTTGAATCAAGACCCGACGTCGAAGGTGATGTTGGAACTTGCCGGTCGTAAATTGTACAGCGAGGGGCTTCGCGAGGAACCGGAGTAATTGTGATAACGAAATCTAGAGATTTTTATAGCAACTCGAGAATGTTAGTATTAAAGATATTTGCAGATATTTAAGATCGATCAATCGATTGACTTTGCGAATAAAATCGGTGTAAAATCTATTATTGATTCTGATAATTGTAATGGAATATGCGGGTATGATAAACGTATTAGAGAACTCACGGTTACGCAGTTTACGATATAAAAGATTCGTGTATCTTTGAAGTCGGTAATAAATCTGCGTAATAATGCTGCAAGAGACTTTTAAAACGCGTTAACAGAAACGAATTACATTACGAAAATTTCCATGGAGGTTTATGAGTGAGAAAGTTCCGTCTGCCTGTATGTGTGTGTATATATGAGCGGTTTCTGTGTACACTTTTTACAAATTTACGTAAGACTATTTTTCTTTGTAATTAATTTATCAAAATATATCAGGACTTTTGTCCCCTCCTTCCCCCTTTTATAACGGCCTGATGTTTCTCGATTCGCGATTGTTTCTCCGGTCATTCAATTACACTTATTGTAATTTTGTTATATCTTATATATGTGTATTTATGAATTCAGCGCTATGATATTAATGCCAATATTGTTACGTGGCCTGAATGCCTATTGTCTAGTGCCTGACAAATCGTTATAACTGTTAATTTATCGTTCTCTGCGTATGTTGATTATTCATAAACGAATAACCGTGTGCCATACAAAAATTGCTCTTGTTAACTAATTAAGACTGTATAATCGTATCGTCGTGTATGATAAACAAAGAATATAAAAAAAAAAAACATTATGCAAACACACCGATCGTTTGCCAATTATTAAGTCAAAGGAAATCATCGCACTATTGTAAGATTTATTGAAAGTTCAATAAACAATCAAAATCTACATTTTTTAACATTCTTTGATCTGACCGCATCCCTTGCGATAAGCGCGAAATTTATTCAATTTTTTTTTTGTATCTAATGAAGACTTACCCGATGACTCAAGTTGTACGTCAGTATCAGATTCCTGGCGAAGGAGTTCGAGAAGGCCTGATAAAATTCCAACACCTCCAACAGCCGATCCCGCTTGATCGTGTGCAGATCGCAGTAAGTGAGCGCCCTGACATTCGCCGCGCTCTGACCGATCGATGGATTCGTCCAAAAACTGTCGCCGAAAACATCACCCTTTCCCAGTATCGCCACCACTTCGTCGTCCTGTATAACCTCGAGGCTGCCGGTCACGATGAAGCACAGAGAGTCGATGGATTCTCCCGTGTGATACAGCAAATCGCCGGGCGCGCTGTGCGACATCGTGAAATGCATCGCCAAAGCGCGCAGACATCCGTCAGACGCTAGCCTGGATTAAATGCAAATAAAGCAGCGAGTTGATACAATTAAACCTTAATCTTTTGAACTCTTCTTCTTTTTTTTTTTTTAGTATGAGATAGAATTTACCTGAAGGCGGGATGTTCATTAAAGACTTTCCGATTGAGGTGGACGCAGATGTCGGCCTTCATATCTTTAGGACAATAGTTGAGAACTTTGTCCGTGTCCAGACCCTTCGTCATCGCCCACGTGCTGACAACATAATCCATAACGCGCTCGCTGAGAGCTTTCGGCACTTCGTGGAGCTTCATGAATTCCCTCACATTGTTCAACATGTCGTGATATTTGGCGGTAGCAGACGTCATTTGCTGGATGATCGTGGTGACATGACCGAAGATTGTGGCGTACAGTAAGGCTGGTCGAGGGAACGAGAGAGAAAAAGAAGAAAAAAACATGTTCAAATATTTATTTTTACACATCAAGCTTCTTCGTTTCTTACTTTATCGAACGCGAATAATCGAAGATCGTATCTTCTTTGCACACGCGCCGATTTTCCGGCGAAGAATTAGATTTACGGTAGTATTGTCCGTACCAGCAATGATCATCATGCAGATGGTGAAAATCTTCTCGTTGTCGGTCTCGGCCGCAACGTTCCCAAAGCCCACAGAGGTCATGCAAGTCATTGTGAAGTAAAGAGCGGTGACATACATCGTGCGTCGTGACGGGCCGGCTACTAGCTCGGGTGCAGTGCTGGCATTGGTCCACAAGTAGCTGTACGGTGACTGGGTAACATTGGCCAACTTCCACAACCACGAATACTGTACCCCTTGGTCGGCATCCGACCTGCCTATTGAATACCTTTAACGCAAGGAGATTTCTTACCGAGGCTGTATCGGATCTAGTCGACAGGAGATTGATATGAGGTGGAGATATAATGTACAATACATTCGAATGCGAAACGTCGTACTATTCGTTTCTTTTTAGGATCGCGTCAAGTTCAACTCGATGAATGTTCTCGCTCATATGATTAAATGCATTCTAAACTAAAAGTTGGTTCTCGGTCTACTTTAATCTAAATTTCATTACAGTTTATTGGATATCGTGTAACGGCTCTGTTTCTGTTCTTTTTGTGTTATAAATACTTTAAAAGATAGCATAATTCAGTGTGAAAAAATCATGGCATAATGTTAATGTTTGACCAAAGTTCGGTGCAATGACATTTAATAAGATGAGAAGTGATATAGCCAATTTTTTGAGACAATATAATAAAGCGGGAGAGAATCTTTAAGACAGAAAGTATGACTTAGTTCGTGCACAGTGACCCGAAGCGTATCTCACGTGACACAACAAGAGTCATAATGATATGTCTGTATGTGTGTAATGTTGTTACGGTTAACGATCGTGTCGCGCGGCGTACCCATCCCATCGAGGAGATGTGTGTTACCTTGAATACGTGTACGCAGGGTAAAATCACCTTAATGTGACGTACCAGATACAGGCCAGCCAGTGAGCAACCAACATGTAGAAACAGAGCAGAAGAATGAGCATCGCGGCACCGTATTCCAGATACCGATCTAGTTTGCGTACGACTCTGCCGAGTCGCAGCAGCCGTACCACCTTCAGGGCCGAGAACAGGCTACCTATTCCGTCCTCGTCGTGATCGAAGGCGTTGAATACGTCGTACGGTAGACAGCTCAGTAGATCTATGATGAACCAAGATTTCAGATAGTTCATTCGGATTACCTGAAAGTATCAAAGTGCCGCGTTATGAGAGCTATGGCTACGATGAACCTACTATTAATATCAGCAAATTGTTCCACTAAAATTCAAATTGCAATATTAATAACAATTTTGAATTTTATAAGGCATAAGTCATTAATTTTTCTTTACGAATTAAATTCTTAAAGATTGGGATGAAGCAAACGGTACCTTCGGATCGGACACCACCTCGCCACCAGGACCGACGAACGTTGTGTGAAAATTTAGTACGATGTCGATGAAAAATATCACGTCGACGATACTGTCGACGACTAATAGAGAGACGTCCTCACTGGTCTTGTTCTTAAACGCGACGTTATACGGCACCATGATGGCTGTGTAAAAGGTCAAACACAAAATGATCCAATCCCAGATTGCCTTAAATGCACAATAATGCAGTAAAATATGTGGTGGTGTTTTCGGCGCTTCCTGTCTGTATTGCGGCATAACATCGCCGCTCAAAGTCATCATCTGAAAAAAAAACGCCAACATCAAAACGTTTCAAGAACAAATCGGTACGCGAAGATCAATATATTATAATTTATGTAAATTAACGATTTAAAAATATTTTGTATCCTTTCACACATTTTTTTTCCTATTCAAAGTATACGTCAAAAATAAATTATAAGCAGAATGAACTATTTGTGTTGCTTTTATATCGACTTTTTATCCATCGTATATCATTTATCTGATATCTTTTTCTTATAGCGAGTCTGGCTCCATTAGTTTCTCACGCTCCAAAGAGCTTTCGAATGTATAAGCTTTCTATGTTGATTTTGAAGGAAGATTCATGGAAATGTGCTCTCAGCTTTCCACTTTCTTCCATTTTCACGAAGTCGGACAATATTGAAAATACGTTCCGATTTCATTGATTTATAAATGAGACTTCATAACTTGACTGTGGCTACCATTGTCCATTATCCGTATTGTCTGTTTTTAAATGATCCAATAATCCATAAACTTTCAATCAGTGAAAAGAGACTATCGAGAGAGAAAGAGAAAAAGAAATCAAAAGTTTCGAAATCGAAAAATTTAGTAAATATAGGCATAATAATATAATAATATAAAATGTATAAAACTATATGATAGAATATAAATATATATATATATATATATATATATATATATATATATATATATATATCGTGATATTATTACAATACACAGATACCGCTGTAAAGACAGAGATCCTTTAATTTCGATAGTATCATGAAGCATTGCAATGACTTACATGACCCAGATTCGATTGTTTGGTGGTTGTCGGCACAGCTGTGTCTTTCAAGGCCGGCAGATGGGAGCTGAATTGAGAGACTAGGACCGATCTCGATCTGGTGACCGATCTGGCGAGCTTGGCGAACTTGGAGAGGCCGCCTTTGCTGTCGTCCGTCTCGATGGGTTGCTTCAGCGCGGTGATGTCGCGAAACGTCAGCAGGAACAGGACCACGAGGTCTCGTTCGTTTTTGATGGGCGCTATTTGCAGCAGCAGCCATAATGGTGTTTCTGTACATCGTAAAAAGAAAGCACCGATACCGTCTGCTCGTGCGGAAGAAGGCATACTCGCATAATTGTCTATCTATTTCCTAATTCGTATATACTTTCAAGCACGATTGGTTGCAGGAAGATTGGGGTGAATCTCAGTTGTAGTAGAGAGTCAATTTCGGCTGAAGATCTTTCTGCTGCCGCAGTCTAGAAGAATCAATCATGCTTTGTGCCGGAAGTTAACGTTTGCGAGATGTGCTATATAACAGCATACAATGCGTTAAAAGCGATAAAAGCGTTTTACAAAGAAGATAGTGAAGTGTGAAAACTAATCATAGCACTGTCTCATATCAGGAATATTTCTAAAGATAAGAAAAACTGCTGACAGAGTCGGCTCAAGATTAAGTAATTCAGTAGAAGAAGAAAGACTCTACGGAAATATAGAGATAAGATATCTTATAAAAGTAATAAAGGCAAAAAGCAAGAGTTGATAAAAAGTTTTCTCAATGCAATTCTCCCTCCAATATCGTGAGTAAAATATCGTAATGGAGAATTTCTCTTTTTTTCTTTTCTTTTCAAACAACGTGAAATCACCGTGCATTCCATCGTGCATTATCGCATTACTTCAGTTAAACTTCACCAAACAGCGCAGGCATAATGAATTTTCTGACAGTAATTAACAAATCTCTAAGTTCCAGCGCTTAATCCCTGTAACATGGCAAGCGCAAGTGGCAAGTCGCATTGCGCACTAAATTATTGTCACACTTGTCCACAATGTCGCATGTCTGTCGACATGCGAGATCGAAACTGTATGCGAGTGTAGAACCAACGGAATCCAATTAGGGATTCGCCTACGATGTTTTGCGGCGTAAAGCGCGCGGGCATGCGAATGAAAAGTAATAAAGGCGAGGAAAATTCAATCAAAGTACGAGAAGAAAAGAGTGGTATACATAGTTGAGAATAATAGCGGGTATGTTAATAAAGATATCGGAAGATTTTCTACGAAGAGTATATATTTGAAGAAAAGTATTTTTGCAACGCCAGAGAATTGTAATGCGATAGAAAAACAAATTTCTCAGCGATATATCTTCGAATATTCTTTTTTATCTTATGCGCATCCTTACGCATCTCTTTCAAGAATATCTCGTCCCAGAGATACTCCACCGGTCTCTTATCGTAATATAACGGAGCGTGAAATTTGTGTGTACACGTGAAATTTTAGACCCGAGGGAATACAGACGGCATATATAAATGTTCGATGATATTTTGGCGCTCTATCTATATTTAGCGACAACTGGCTTAATTAAACAACCTTGTAAGCCCGTCGAGCGACGGTGGTGTACGAACTACGTGCGAAAAGCATCGACAATATATACATCGCCGACCGGAAATATCAGCGACCGTGTTTTCGAGGGATGGCAAAAAGTTATCGCAGTGAGAGCGCAGCTACGACTTCAAACTAGTATGGATTTCAAAGTAAAGCGGAAGGGACTTATTCAGAATCTCAATCGGGATAGTTGTGACTAAAGTAAACTTGGCACTGTAGTAATACTACTTAATGAGAAACCATATCATCGCTATAAGATTGAAGAGAGAGAGCGATAGTTATTTATTAAAAACTACTTACTTAGTTACTATTGCGTTAAAAGTAAGAATTATTGCAAAATGTTGTAGTGTCATATTGCGATGTTTGTCGCATAATAATCGAAATTACTTTAACAGTTTCGACATTAAAAATAATTAAACATTACGTGAATACTGATTCGAATGTAAATGCCGTCATTAATGGCACTGCAGTGTGTCATTTTACGGAGCGTATTATATTATTAGTAATAAATGAAGCAGCAGATTAGCTGAATATGTACAGAATATCAGAATAATATAAAATAAAGTTTCGCTAATGACAACCGATTTGTCCAATCGACTGAAATGTTTTGATTTTATTAATGAGCACTAATTCGTATAATCTGTAAAGAATTAAATCCACTTATGTAATCGCATAATGCAGAAAAATTAATAAAAAATTGACGAACAAGATTTTATTGATGCATTAATGCAATCATTCAAACTTAATGTCCGGCGATATAAAAAAATAAAAAATATGTATATAAATAAATTTATGTATATTCAATGCTTCACATAACAAATCTGTCACTTTAATATTACGAAATAATAAAGAAAAAGAAAGTTTCTATATATACATATTTACAGTACTGTTAGCGAGTGTGAAACCTGAGTAAAAGTAAAATTCGTCGAAAATAAGAATCTTCGACAAATTCTTTCTTTTAATATCACAGAATTAATTCGCCTCTCGCAATCCGCGCTCAGCGCTTTTTCTCATGGATTAATCACGTGAGTTGATAATCCTCAAGATAACCCTCTTTCTCTCTTCGGAATGGAACGACCGTCATTGCATCCATCTCCGTGTTCCTTCCGACGATAAGGACTGCTGGTCGGGGTTTTCTCCGACAAAAAGGTACTTAGACTCGCGCCAAACGAGCGTAATGCGGCGCGAAAATAACGTCCGTGATCTATTTTTTACAACGGTCGGCGAATGATGCTATTGCGAGACCATAATCTTTCCGTTCTATCTCCATGGGTGGCCCCCGGTTACGAGAAAAAAACGTGGCGGCTATCTTCCCGAATGTGCACGTACATTCAGAAATATTATTTTTTTAAAAACACGGCTGTGTTAACGATAATTTCGACAAACTTCTCATTGTACGAATAAAGAGGGTTGAATAATTTAGCAACGCTTTTCTAAGAATTTGCCCCAGACTCGATCTAGAATTAATCAAATCTCAACAGACCTTTAAAAGCGTTTTTAAATACAAATTTGAAAGATAAATTTAAGCTTGTTATCAATATGATAAATATATAAATCTGTTAGTATATATAGTATATATGGTGTCTTTTGTATACTGTTTTAAATTCGTGGATGACTTACTGGTGGCATTTGCGAGCACGCTTTTGCGAACCTGTGCTAGACATACCTCGTGGGCTACCTTTAAACAGAACGATCTTTCATTATTGGGCTTAGCACGCCGCGCATTGAGGGAGGATGTTTTCCTCTATTGCGAAAATAATCGAGAAATAATCGGATGTCCCTCGGAAGGATTCTCGATAGCGGATATCAGAGCACGCGAATATCAGAGTGAGATGATGCGACACGATGGTAGAACAATCAGCGAAACACGGAACCCTGCCGGTGAATAAACATCGATACGGCAAGACGATGCGCAGACATTTACGCCTCGATATTCCATCAAATATTGCGCATGCACAATGATATCGTGCCTCGAGGCGTTTCCCCAAAACGTGCTTCCCGAGAGTCGACGGTTTCGCTATTAGCGATCGTTGTCATTGCTAACATCGTAACATTGTAACTGCAACACGCGTCCGCTTTAACATGCTTTTAATCACTTCACGAACAATTATTTAAATAAAATACACAACAACGATTTCACCCCATGCAATTCAACTCTCATCGCACGCACGGTTCTTCAAGTACAAAATACAGCGAAGCATCGCGAGAAATAACACATAAATTTTCAGGCGCTGAGATAAACATTGTTTCTATCACGTTTTTCTATCTATGCTACACACATAAAATTTTTAATGCTTGAACAGCACATTTATAGTTTGCACGGCGGCATTCCTAAAAGCGTTTTTTTATTAAAATACTATTTCGAGTTTCACCAGAACGATTTTCATATTGATTTAACTTAAACGGAAAAGTTAAAAATTCCTTTTCTTTTTCTATTCTAAATGAAGACAGATGAGTGATGCAGTTCTTTCTTTACGTTTATCGCAGTGTTCAAAATTCGCAAATATTGCGCGTTGATGGCGTCGGTTATTTATCCTAATTAACCGAATGGCGGTGTTTCGCTGGCAAAACGTCAGTTTCCCTGCGCTAAGCAGCGACGTTTTGTTTTCCATTAAACACATAGGCCGAGCTGATTGCCAGGTGCCTCTAACGTTTCCGCACGGTGCATAAAGTGCACGACGGCGCAATAGGAAACTAGATGCCGGTCCGATAAACACGCGCATGCAAATTTCGCGCAATAACTCCCCGTCCGAGATTCCACAGGGAGTTTTTCTCTCCCCTTCCACTCCCCCAACCCTTCAACCACGACTATCCAATTATCTACGTGACAAACGTGCGGAGAAAAACGAATTTGCTACCGACGAGATTTCGCTGCGACGCGCGAATTTCGACAAGATCGGAAATTGCACTGTGTTGTAATAACGAAGCAACGATATTAATCGCCCGTTTACGCGGTTCAGAAATGAGTAATTTAATCTTCACTGTACCTATTCTAGACGATGTCCGTTCATGAAACTGATAATTTTATCTTTTACATCGAAACATGCCTAGCGACTTTACAATAATAAACAATTTGCGTTTTAGATCCAAAGAATTCGATATCTTTGAAATTTTTCAAAACTTCGTGTGTGATCAGCATATTGCTGTTTTCTTTCAGAAACCGTCGATTCTCGCGAAGAAAGCCACGAACGCCACATTGAAGCTTCTACATGCAGAAATTCGTGAGCGTGGTGAACTTACTGGTCTTCTTGTACAGCAGGATCTCGAACTGATCGTGAATTTGGCCCTCCAGACACTCCTCGATCCTGGCGATCGTTTCCTTGTCCGTCAGCTCGCCGTACATGAATCCACAACGGCATGACTTTTGCATAACCTGGGAACACAGAGGGGACGCATAAAGTATCCGTTATGGCCCATTTATCCTCCTGTGAAACGTCACGTGTATGTGTAATACACGCTGCTATTATAGATAAGTAATTATAAGATATACATGGGCAGATGATAAATGTGCGCGAGGAGCATAGGTGGTGGTAGATCGATTAATCTGCTTTATAATTAGAACGGTCCGCCTATTATTAATAAGCACTTCGCGCTCGTTATGTATTAATAAAGAGTATATCGTGAATTATGACTCAATAGCACGAAATTTCTAAGCGCGTTTCCCGAAATGGAGTACTATATAAATCCCATTTACATAATATCGATTTCCGTGTTCACAAAATATTTGAGTACGTCGTAGAATTAGATAATTAGAAGTATAATTACAAGTAAGTCTCATAAATCACGATCCTTGCGAATAAATAATTTCTTCAAACAACTTATTTCGCGGATAAGATGTGAGATTAAAATTTCTGATAAACGTGATGGGAAAATAAAAAAAGTGTAGACCACTCTTGATTACGCGTTAAGTGTCGTAAACAGAAACCATTGTGAATAAAGTGTTTCCTTAAATAGCGATTTTGTGGATCGATAACGTCGATAGAGGGGTTGACCCGATTTGTTATCAAATGCCGACGAAAGCGAGAAACGGCTCGTGCCGTTCGTGCGGGATATCGGGCATAGGTGATATCGTGTTTTTCGACCTCGAAACAGATTTATTAATCCCGTAGTGCTGACCTTTAAATCCTGCGGCTCATAGACGCAACAGGAATGAAATAACTACCGATCCCGATCGAATCCACCTCGCGTCCGTCGAAATTTTTTAATTGGACGTGCAATCTTGCAAAAATAACGACGTCAAAAAGCGACATCCATCGAATAATAAAATTCCGTAACGCGGAAAAAAATTAGAACGGACAAGGCAGCGTGGAACTCGCGCATTTTATTCTCGCGCCATTAACTTCGCCGATAGCTGATATTGAAGAAATTTATTTCGTTATTCAATGCTATCGCTTTATACTTTGCTCGAATCTTTTGCTTCAACATTTGTAGCATGCAGATGTGCGAGGAAATGGCACGGAATAAGCATGTTTCTTGCGCACCACACAATAGATTTACTGCGTTAGCTGCACTTCTCTGTGTACGTATACAATGAAAAAAAAGAATATACGTCTTAATACAACATCAGAGAGAGAGCGAGAGGAGGGGGGGGGGGAGGCGTCACATGGCTGATGTAAAAACAGGTGTGATTTTCAAAGAAAACTTGGAAAACTTTTGCATGAAGAAAGGGATTTTCCACGACTGTATGATTACGTTAACCCGATTATGTCTTTGAAACTGTTGCAAGTAATAGGATTAGAGACGTCATTTTCCTTGATAATGCTACGTAGGGACAATTCAGGTGGACAAAACAAGCAAAAGGTCACAAGTGCAGCAGCTTTTCGTTTCGAGTTGCCACAAGCAGAATTGTTACTTCTTGAAAAGTGTTTCTGACAATCGCCGCAACGAGCTTATGACTGTCCGGCTTTCTCAATAATTATTTTCGTTTTCAAATATTTATTTTTACCGTAACGTTAAAAAATAAAATAAAATAAAAATATGTTATGCAAGGTGTTCTACAATTCATGTATGTCTCTTTAACCACAGATTCTCTCATCACTTTGAAGTCAATTGTTTCCTCAATAAAAATTTCAGGCAAAATCACGTATCGCATCTTTCCAATTTTCAATATGTCATAATATTTTTTAATTAAGTTTTGGACTGAAATTTTATTCAAAAAAGTAAAATCCATTTGAAATTAATTGAAGAATATCGTCTCTATTCGGCTGCGCTATTTGGTTTAATCTGCAAGAACCTCTTTTTTTTCAATGGTTTATAACTCAGAAACAATGATGACTTGAGATATTTGCTGAAAAAAATTTAGTCCCATTCAATCAAAGTCTACCGCTGAAAAAACATCCGTAAATCTCGAAACACTTTGTATATCTTATCGCAAAGTATTCAGGCGAGATCGAGAGTGCATACACCCCACGTCGTTGCCACTTCCGTTCTCCACCGCGGCAAACCTTCTACGAAAGCATCCTCAATCCGGCTTCCAGTAATGGAGTTTGCAAACCCCAAATCCATGTATCTTCCCAAACAATAGGATTGGAACATTGGGAGTCTTACAAAATCGGAGTAGTTACTGCCTCCACTATTACATCGTCACTTTGTTCGGAACGTTAGAGTCGGCTAGAATAAAGCCGCATCGTCTCGCACTCGCGTCCAATAATTCAAGACGTTCAATGCACGAACCAATTTTTGTGTTTCTCGCGACTTTAGTTTGCGAGCTCGGCGAGATTTCCCGTATTTCCTGTTTATCCCCTGCATACGTGATTTATACCTATTTCCCGAAGAAAATCTGTTTCGTTCTGTTTCGAGCGTTTATCGTATGTATCGATACAAAAATTTTCAAATGTATTTTTTAAAGCTGTAATTACAATAATGCAATTTAAGTTGCAATTAAACACGGATGTACACGGCAAATATAATTAGCATGTAAAATAAAAAAATTTTAAATAATAAAAATATTCTACCATGCGTTTTATCATACTAAGCAGAATTTTAATCATTTACTAATTAATTTTTGTTTCGCGTAAATTTTCAAATATTTTTCACGCAACGATATATAATGAACACTTGCTATAATTCTTTAAACCGAATAATAAATTTATCATATTTATATTTTATATCATATTTATATTTATTGTATATTTATATGTTAGTAAAATGCAATGATATTATTGCACAATAGTAACAATATTATTAAAATAAGTAGAGTGTGAGCGGTTAAATTAACCAAATTAGCGATTAACCTTTAACAAAAGAGAATTCGATATCTGGCTTGGCCGCCAGCGCGGTGCTATCGGCCGACTTCTTGCCTTAGGCGCTTGTGCTTTTCTAACTCTTATCCCCGTGCGCACGACTATAAATCGATGCCGATGAATCAAGCCGTTAGTCGCTAAATCCCGTTATCCGTTCGCCACTCGCGCCAGTCTCACCCTGGAAGGTGAAGGATGGCAATGGATAAGCGAGCCATTGCTCATAGCACCACCAGGTGGATATCGAAGGATATTCAGAATATATGACGATATTGCATCGGACATCTAATATAAAAAGAAATGTACGACGACTCGGAGTGCCCGTTTGTTTTTAATGACGCAGCTTAAGAAAGAAATTTAATAAAACGCGAAGTAACGAAAGCTGATTTTCGAATACGTTAAATTTGCACGAATCAAACTGGAGAACACGAAACTTTCGAATTAAGAAAACATGAGATTTTTCTTTGACAAAAGATATAAATGTAACAATAGCAAAATACATATCTTTGATAGTACTGAAATTAAGAATATTTGTGTTAATCATGTTCGGATATCGATTGTTGCAGGAATCAATATTTAGGTAATTCTGTGTCTGAATAATTGGCGGTTTACCGAATCTAATAAAGCAAATAAATATCTCTGATGTATTAAATAAATTTGTGACGTTTAACATGACACGTAATTAATTAATTAATTAAACAATTGATACACAGTACTGTGCGAAAAATACGTTTCGAACGTCACGTAATGGATTGTGTGTGTATCTGTTGCATGTGGATTACAGATACACACGATTTCTCCGCGAAAGCACTTTCGCAATGAAGTGGATAATGGCGGAAGGATCGTAGGAAACGAGAGAAATCGAGTGTCTGTTTGTATTAAATAAAGTAGTCGTACCTCGGCGCGATTGTAGCCGGAGATCTTGACGAAGCTCTCGTTGCAATAGACGATCGGGAAGTCGACGATCTGGGCGTTTGCCAGTAGGAAACTGCTGTCGGCTGCGAACAGAAAGAAGAGAGAATCAGGCATTATTCTCTTGCATAATGAAACATGATACGGTAGCGAAAATATTTCTCCTCATTTCGCTTTTTTTTTCTTTCCCATTCAGACAGTGCCTTTTGTTCGCGGTTTTGTTCGCATCGTTCGACGCCGTCCGGCAAGAAACGGCGTCTCTTTTATTCTAATCTGCGATTTTGCATTGATGCGCTTTTATTTAACGCTATGTCAAAATGATGGATTTCTCGACCGAACAGCGGGACGCTTATATTTATTTAACATTGCGCAAACCAGACGTATATCATCGTCCGGCGCGAACAAACCAAGAAAAAGTATCTTCGTCATAAATTACGATTATACGCAGCGTATATATAAACGAGATAAATGTAAAAATTGCGTATTACATGGTGACAGGAGATAAAATGGCGAATGTGCGGCGAGTAATCGATGGTCTTCCGTATAAATCAACATTACTCGGCTAATGGGTGTTCCGGAAGTTTTTCAACGAGCACCGGAGTTCATTTAGAGTTTCCCGATAAATTACGGACGGAAATTAACAGCGCGGAGACAGTGTGCTCGGACTCATAATAACACGAGTTTCGCGTAAGCATGACGCAACGAAGAATGATAAGGCGAGTCACGCCTTATCGCGTTCGTCCAATTAGCCCCGCCGCGTGTAATTACCGTTCAACGAGGGCCGATTTGTCTACCGGTGCCGATAAAAGCCCGCGATCGGATCTCCGCGAGGAGAAAACGAATTTTCCGTCTAGAGGAAGTCTCATCCGCGTGCGAACGACAAAGACGATCATTGTCAATGCCGCCGACCGTAATTGATTGTCGCGCCGGCGTGCTCGAATTATAACAGCTCCGAATTGCATCACGGTCACCCGTCGTTAAAGTGATCCCCGCGTTAATACACACTCTGTGTCGTATAACAATTACGATTATTATTATCGCCGCGACATAACCGTTATCGCGATCGACACGAAGCGATGACACGCGAAAACACGTCACGCGCGGCTTTCTCGCGAAAACGCGTTATTCCCGTTCGACGCCAGACGCCGATGGCGGTTGTGAAAATCTCTGTTTCGCGTTACGCCGGTTTTAACACGGACGAGAAGGGTTCGTAAAATTTGAAAGCGCCGCATTCACCAGGCGCCGTGATATCGCGATGCGGCAATTCGTATCTCGAGAGCGATGCAAAAAGAATTACGAACGACGACGATGTCGACGACGCGCGATCGTTATTCCGTCGATTCCGTTTACCGGGTCTTAAACGAAGACGATCGTCTAACGGTCTGGTTTGTAAAGCACACAAGTGCTCGTTCGCTAACGACGACGACCGTCGTCAACGACGACATGACAGATGACGACGACGCGATTAGACAGCGCGAACGCTTTACGTCGCGAAAGCTTTGGTCTTTATGACGTCAGTGAACATTTAAGCGAAATTGCGCTTACAAGATAGAAACGTAAGCGATTTCTTTTTCCTTTCACTGTAGTCTATTAATTGCGAATATAAATCATTGGTGAGAATTCACATTGGCCACTTTAGTTAATTGTACGTATGATATAAAGAACCGGATAATAATTATCACGAATCTAATTGACATTAATTAGAAAATCACCAATTTAATTAATATGCTATCGCAATTATTAATTTAATTAACAAGCTATTCATTTTATTAATAATTTAATTAACAAGTCACTACAATCGCGCGATAAATGGAACGATTCTTTCCCGAAAAGCTCGAACAACGTCGCTGCAACGAACGACACACATCGGTACGCAAATAAATAGGCGATTTAAAAAAAAAAAAAGGATGCTACTCTCGTTAATGAATATGATGCGTTCAAAATAACCCGGTTAAATAACGTGAACCTGCTCAAGCATTCCTCTCGCCCTCGTATGACCGTATTTCTGTTCGCCGTTCTCATTCTTTCCCGGGCTCTTGCACAGAGTCGGATGCACTCCTCCGAGCGTATGATCTCTGAAGTGGATCCTGTTGCATTCAACGCGTTGTGAAATAGTATGTACCGTCCCTATGTGCACGGAATACATACATATAACCGAGCGTATCTGCAACATTCGCAGCGCGCGGACCGGCCGTCGGCGCGGAGGCTTTCAACGACTCTGCGGAGTGCTTTCGAGGGGACACTCGATCAAAAGTGCCTCCTTGTAACATCGTCGACCTCCTACCCCTCTCCCTTCCCCGCCGACCCTTCTATTTCTCATCGTCCGGACAAGAATTCCCAGACGAGATTTAGTTAGTCGCATTAGTGTAGATTTTATGCGGCAACCATCCATACGACTGCACTTTCGCAGTGCGGTTGTTTCGAGCGCGAAAAGTACGAATTTATGTCATAATATGGCGAGAATAAGACAAGCGCGTGTAGCGATATCAGAGAAGAAATGCTCGCTCTGAAAGCTTATTAATTTATTGTGATCTCGAGAGAATTGAGAATGTTAATAGATAGATAACGCTTTGTATGAAATATGATAATGGATACTAATGCTTGAAATCTATACAGAAAATTTTAATGCTCTGAGCGTGTTAGAAAAAGTGTTATTAAATCCAGTCTTAAGGAGCGACAGAAACTCATGAATATGTATAAGCACGAGAGATGTGCAATATGAAAGCTTCCACCACATCGCACGAGATTCGCATTATGTGCTTTTTAAGTCGTGTACAATTTATTAACTCCCCTTGCTTCACCTGAGCTACCTAATAGAAAACAGAATTTTGCTTTAGCATAATGAGAACTGCCTATACACATAAACGGTTAATTGTGTTCACTTATCTGCGGGATATCTGCATAGTATTTGCTACCGCGAGGTCGCCGTAGATTTAACGTACGCTTTAGATGTATTTGCATAACAAATTCAATTTATCTGGCAAATTGCGATGAATTCACTGAAAAATCTTAACATCGCGTATGCAACGAATAAAGCCACTGATAATTGCTAAATATTCTACTAAACTTTTAGGCTATTCGTAAAAAATCATTAAATGATTTTATATGTGAAATCCTACTTTCAAATGTTACTTCTTCTTAAAAAAGAAAAGAAATGTTTCTTCTCTTCTTTTTTCAGTTAAAGAACTTCGCAATGGTCAAGGGCCGCAGATTTACCACCGTAAATTCTTTCAGAATCGCGAAACAATCCTGTGCTTCATTGCAATTACGTACTCTTGGCGACGGATCGTATAGCTTTTCGCCGCTAGTTGGTAATTAATTACCGCGCAGCGTTGTTTTATCGCCGCACTACATATACGTTCGTTCTGTCTCGAGTAAACAAGGTTTCAAGGTAATAGGATTTGTAATGACGTATGCCCGGACCGTAAATGCCATGACGTCCACTAAAAATACTACGTAATTTGCATTCTCTCAAATTGATTTTACTTTCCAATATTATAATTAAGATTTTTCTATTTGTACACATGTTATTATGATTTCTTTATAAATATAATTGCGAATGTACGATAATAATTTCTTTGTTTATTAAAAAATTTAATAATTAACTTCGTTTGATATGTTACAATTTCTCGTTGCTTTACTTTATCACAAGAGAGAAATCCGATCGTAAAGAGTTGAACAGTCTCGGAACAATGACGCGCCTCATTAAGCTTCGTGGTTCGTAAATCAACACTTACGAAGGCGTTTGAACGAAGGCGTCAAGCCGCGATACCTTCCATTAAGGGAGAGTCGGTGGCTTTCATTGCATTATCTCCCGCGTAGCGTTAATCGACAAGAAATTATTGGCATGCCGTCCATTCGTTTTCAATTACAGCGCGCCGCACAAAGGCCCGAATAAATCCGATAAAAAGAGAAAACCGCGCCAATAGAGATCAATAAAATTTCAATCTATTCGTTACACAAAAAACATACGAAAATACAAAACCGGATCTGTCAAATGTTTTCTCGGTCATATGTTTTTTTTTTTTCCCGGTATTTGTGTTAGCTTTTCCTCAACGTATAGCCGTACGCGCTTGTGCAATATTCTACGTCGCATTACGCGGAGAAATATGCATTTCGGAAAATTATACGTTTGTACCGTTTCAGTATCAATAAGCGCAATAATTTTAAATTACAGATTGCATTAAGCTTTTGTTTTGTTAGCGACGTTATGCACTATACAGCGCGGTCTAGCAGCTTTAGTTACATTTATACTTAATCACCTTGTGTGATCAATATCCGTGCCGTCGGCGAGTAGCCGAATCATCATTATTTCGGCACATAGGAAGAGAGAGAGAGAGAGAGAGAGAGAGAGAGAGAGAGAGAGAAGAAGGAGAGAGAAAGAGAAATTGGCCATGGATATTCGTAATGCATTAAATATGGGAATGCATTTCCGTGGTGTTGTGCGCAATAAATTTCGACGTAACGAGCTCTGATTGCCACCAACGCGCTAACAGCACGCGGCTATAGCGCCCCCGAGCTTTACATGTCTATTAATTAATAATTCGTGTTATGAGGTTGTTGCGCGCGCGATGGTAATGTCGTCTTGAGGCGCACATAGTAGCTACCCGGCGTCGAATGCCGCCGCGGCGACCTGTGCCAGGATCAGTAATCATTGAACCTCACGACCGTTATTATTACCTAATTTATTGCCCCGTTGCCTGTTCTCGTTATATGTATATTCCGACGAAAGAACTCGCGATTTGCGTGTTTAACTTTAGGTATTAAGCGTTGATAACGAATGTCGCCGGTTAATTTAACTTTCGTTTAAAGACCGGACTGTTACACGACTAAGTACCATTGATTTAACGAAAAATCGGGAAAATCATTGGCGCTAAAATACAATAAATGGGAATATCAGGTTTTCTTGTATCGAATTAAAGGCGAGTAAATATCTTTGCTAGACTGATCGCACGAGTCTCAGTTGCAGACGTATAAGAAACTCTATCTACTACTCTTTCATCCATCGTATATTTGTGATCGGCACCATTTACAAAATTGAGATGGTCTTCGCAAACAGAATATAAGCCTCTGTCTTATATCAATT